AACCAGTCTCATTATTAATAAAGTTGCTAACATTGTAAAGAAATCCTAGAAAATTAAATGCAGTAGCATAGCAAAATACCATATGCTGATTGCCAGCAATTACTCTTGACTCCACACAGTTCGGATGCTAAACATAATCCATTTAGTGCCGCCTCTCATTACTGTAGTAGTTCTTAAAGAAGGGCAGTAAGTAGGGGGAGGAAATGAGTGATTCAGAAAAGGAAATGTACTTTGTCAGTCCCCAAGAGGAGCCATTGCCCCATGTGCCCCAGGTATTAAAGATTTAAAAGTGATTCTATTTTCCTTCCAGTTCTTTTCTGAATTTCCTAAATGCTTTGAAGTGAACATATTTCATTTATAATTCTAAAAAATTAATTAGAAATACTCAGAATGAAAACAAAAAGGCAAACAAAAAACAGCCATAACATCAACAACAAACATAAGTGTTCCTGTGTGGGGATGGGAGTGGTAGAGTCTTCAAAATATAAAACCAACCAAGTTTGGACTTAAGCCTCCAATTCCCATGGATATTTCTGCCCAGATATGGCCATTCTTCGTTGCTCCAAGAACCTTTACACTGCGTTCAAATTAGGACTATCTGTCCCCCAAACTTAATCTGTTGACCACTTTTTCTAAAATTTTTTGAGAGGTGAGATCTGATATCTTATTCTAAGACCTCCTCAGACTGAGTCAATCAAATCACCGCCAAATCACATTGCTTATCAGTGTTCCCCTTGACTTGCAGCAGTGTTGGCCAAAGCTGAAGTCATGTAGACATCATAAATAAAGATTTCAGTTATTACTCCAAGGGTTTTCTTTATTATGAAAAGTTAACATAATAAAGAGGGTTCACAGTTTAAGCCAATGCAAATTGGATTTGTCTATAACTGTGAGAGTATATTTAAATCAAATTGCTGTATGTCAAGAACTATTCTTATTAAAACTCAATTTTATGAAGTATAGTAAGAATTATGTGTACAGTGACACAAAATTTATATAATTAACACACACACAATGTGTGTATTATGGGCTGAAGTGTGTCTCTCCACAATTAATACATTGAAGTTCTAACCCCCAGAATGTGACTGTATTGGGAGATAGGCCCTTTAAAGAGGTAATTAAGTTAAAATGAGGTCGTTAGGGTGGGCCCTAATCCAATATGGCTGGTGTCCTTGTTAAAAAAAAGGAGATGTGCTGCTCTGGCTGGTTTAGCTCAGCGGTTAGAGCACTGGCCCAAGGACCAGAAAGGCCTGGGTTCGGTTCCTACTAAGGGCACGTGCCTCTGTTGCAGTTTGGCCCAGGCCCCGATTGAAGTCGTGTGGGTGGCAGCCACTTGATGTGTTTCTCTCACATCGGTATTTCTCTCTCTTCCTTCCTCTCTCCCTCCCACTCTATCATAGGAAAAATGCGAAGATGTCCTCAAGTGAGGAACAAAAAAAAAAAGGAAATGTAGACAACAGACATACAGAGGGAAGACCATGTGAAGACATGGAAAGAAAATGGCCATTGACAAGCCGAGGAGAAAGGCCTCGGGAGAAACCAATCTACTTCCATCTGATTCAGACTTCTAGCCACCAGAATGATAAGAAAATTAATTTCTTAAGCCTCTCATTCCTGATACTTTATTATGGCTCCTAGAAAACTAATACAGTGTGTATGTGTGTAATTTGCAGCATAATTTTTACTCATGTCACCTAGAGTCACTTACCACATGATATCCCATTTCATGTGTTATGAAGTTTAAAGTTCTTCCAAAGACTCTTACAGGTTCTTGGGGACTAGTGTCCCCTGCCTCTCCTGAATTATTTCAGAAGCCATTTCACAATCTCCACCTTTTGTGGTCCCTGTCCTGTGCTAACCTAGGGTGGACCTGGGGTCTTTCCATTAATTTCTGTCAAAATAAAAGTACGTAAACTGATAACAATATTCAAAAACAAAACAAAAATAAAAATGCACCTTCACACAGAGTAACTGTGAATGTGGCCGACTTTACTGTCGGGCAGTGCAAAAAATCTTCCAATGGAACGTTAGTTTTCTCTGCTCTAAAATAGTCCCTTAGCCATTTTCACAAGTGGGAGAACTCTTCTTCTTCCTCTCTTCCTTCTGCTCTTCCTTCCCCCTTTCCTCTTCCTCTGGCTTCTCTCTCCTCCCTCCCTCCCTCCCTCCTTCCCTCCTTCCCTCCTGTCTTCCCCTTCTCCCTCCCTCTCATCTCTAAATACCCTGATGGTTCTTCCTACTCTTTTTTGGCCCTTCTCCCATCCCCAACAGTTTAGCTATCACTTTATATGAGTTTGGCTCATATTCTCAGGATCCCTATTTTACCCTAAATAGCTAATCAGACTGTCCTCAAACAGAGGTGGTTCCCTTTCTCAGAAAAATCCTGGAGCCAGCTGGTAAAGTTATACAGTTTTATCCATGCTACATTATATTTAGCAAAGTTATTGAAAAGAGTGAGGTAATTTTTGAGGGTTTTTTTTTCCCCCGTAATTCAAAAATCATTAACATCATTCATTTAATAACATCTAATATTAATACACTAGTCTTCTATATAACCTCTAAGTGAACTCAGATCTAAAACCTCCATTAAACCTCTTAAAAATTATTTAAAAATTTTGCAGATTCATTGGAATTTTGACCACACGTAAATTCTGAATCTTAGTTTTGAAACGGTCAAATGTTGCATTCAGAAAACGATTTAGACTATGCTTGCAAAGTGGAAGAAGGTTTAACAGCTAAGAATCTTGTACAAGTGCCACTTTTTATAAGGGACATAGGAAAGAAGGCCTAGTTCTGCCTTTATTCAAAAGACCTTCCACGCAAGTATTATATGTTGATGTAGATTGCCTAGCTGAAGACTGGCAGTTTATGATTTCAGGAAGAAAATGAAAATAAATTCTGGTTCAAAATTACTTCTTAGGAAACAGGCTGCTACTGCCACCTGGGGGAGATTCTTTCTGCTTCATCCAAGAAAAGCCAATGTGCTGGTCAGATGAAGGGATCCAGTTCTGGTTTTCCTTGTCATAGGCACACAGGAAGAAGACTTCAACTTTCTGCTCATGAAATCATAAGGCGTTCCAGATGTCTGTGATTCCTCCACACAGAAATACATACTTCACAGACTTTTTGAGGGGTACAGGAGATGAACCAGAATATAACTATATGAAGGTTTTTACATCTTACGAGAAAATATTTTGGGAAAGTATGGGTTATGTACTAAGTGGAAAAAATCAAATTTCAAATTTAAGCTTTCAGTAACAAAATAAAACCCCCATTTTAATCAAAAAATTGTTTGGCTTCAAGTTATAATCAGTTGATTATAGTCAACAAATATCATTAATCAATATGAAAACTGCATGTGCTGATATAATCATGCTATTTGGATTGCATTAGGATAAAATACTGTAATAAATTTTAATTATATGGAAATAGCCAAGAGAGTTTTCTTAAAGAATTTTTGAATTTATGAACTTAATACTGTTATGAAGTCAATATCTCTTTATTTCATATATATTACATATTTCTTTGTTGAAATTTTCATAAAGTAATGGTATTCATCAGTTACAATGGAAAAAGTTAATCATTGTATTTGAATGTCTAGTTTCTGTTTAATACTTACCAATATTGCATTACTTTAGACTAGAGATAAATTGTTAATATTAGTAATGTTCTAAAACAAATAATTTAATCCTGGCTATAGAAGTTTCTGGAAGTACCTACTGAAACTACAGGTCTGTCAGGTGACATAAAAAAAGTCAGTGCTGATTAGAGAAAGACAATCATTCATAGACAGGATGCTGGTAACAGATTAATTAAATAAAACACACACAGTATCCGTCCCAGAGTGGTACAATAATAATGTCTAAAGGCTAAAGTTCATACCTAAGAATACCTGTACCAGCTCAAGAAAAGTCTTTGTGGAAAAAGCATTTTTAACATTGAAAAAGGTACGTGACATACGGCAAATGGATTGGGATTTCATAAATTTTTTTAATTACGCATCTGATTTAGGAGTAAGAAAACAATCTGAGTGATTAAATTGCTGCCAACATAGCTAAATGAGCTGGGTGAGCTGGGGTCACCTTGAGGGACCCCAGAAATGAGTATTTTTGTATGGGGAGTATGAGGTTCCTTCAAAGTGTTCATGTTAGGGTCTGGGTAGACTGGGATGAGGGGTATTACAGGACAAGAAAGGCCAGAGGTACTTTCTCTATATATAATATAGATATTATGTAATAGAAACACAGGTTATAAGAAAAAATAATAAATATGCAATATGAAATGTCTTTATTTCTGAATCAGCAGTAGAACACTTCCAGTACTTGGGCACTAGTGCTGCCTCATTGATCTAATGAATCGAAAGATGACCTTATGCTATCAGGGGCTTCTGTTCTGCATGAAATTAAACTATAATTTAGGGGTGTTATAAATGGAGCAGAGTCTCCCAAAGTTCTCCTCCCTCCTAACTGAGCTGCACAATGTGTTGGACTTTACTTTCTTTATTAAGGAGTCAATAATTTATCATGGTGGGCCACGGAAATAATTTATTAGTTATTTCCTAGAAGAAATTACAAGTAGTTTTCATTTCATCAGAATGCCTGATTGTAAAAAAATAAATAAATAATAGTAAACAGAAACAGAAGGCTTCTCTAACATTATTCATGTTTCATAGGAGAGAAGCATATTCAGGAAGTCAGGAAAGATGAGTTTTTGCAGATGCTACTTGTGTATTCAACAGTGGGAAGGTGGGAGGTGGCAAAGTGGGGGACACTGTTTAAAATGTAAGAAGGGCTGCTTCTTCCACTGTTTTGTTTCTACCTCTCCTCCTAGAGTGAATAATTTTCCAATGCTTATGCTAGCTTTGAATTTAGGGACTTCAGCCCCCATTCCTAAACCAACTCACCTACCACATTGATGAGTTGATATGGTTTACATTCTCATTATGTAATTTTTTTCTCTCTCACTGTCCTGTAATTCTTGCTTCCTCCTCCCTTATCTGTATTTGACTTCGTTCTCCTCTCTTATTGCAAGCTGCTAATATTATTTCAATCTTCTTTCGTCACTGGTGTGTGTCCACTCTAGTAGATCACTCCTGCACCCTTTAGTTACTATGAATTAGGGGGAGGCAAATTAAAGGTAATAGCTGGAGTGCTGCAGGCCAGGTAGGAGCTTTGGTCTGTGCACAGCCATGACGGACTCCAACAAGATGATCATCGACTTGGCCCTCTTTGGCATGACTCAGAGTGAGAAAAGTTCTGCTGGAAACATTCTTCTGGAAAGTAGTGACTTCCACAGCAGCTTGGCTCCATGTTCTGTGACCCAAGCTTGTAGTCTGGGCCACAGCTGTCACCTCCATGGCTTCATGCGTCATGGGGGACAAGAGATAACCCTGCAGGTCCGGGTGCTGGGCACTCCAGGTCATTCGCACAGTGAGCTGAACAAGAAGCACGTGAAACAGGAGGTCCAAGAGGCCCTGGAACAGCACTTTGGGCAAGAGGGTCTCCACCTTGTACTGCTGGTCCAGAGAGCAGACGTGCCTCTCTGTGGACAGGAGGCACCTTCCCCGGTACAGATGATCCAGGTAATACAAAGAGGCAGTTACACTATTGCCATTATTCCCATTTGGAGGACACTATCCTAATAGAAAAGAACTATAATAACTGGTTACAGAGCAGTTTAAAGCAAGTTTTAAAACAAGCCATTTAAAATAAGTGCTGGTTGCATAGAGACAGTAAAAATTACACGATTTTTTCCACTGACTTATTTTTTTTTACAATTTTTCTTTAGAGGAATTTGGTTAGTTATTTTACAACTGCATCACTTTTTAAAAAAAAAATGAAATGTTAAACTTTAGAGGTTAACTAAATCTCAAACCCCTAAGAACTGGAAACCTGAACAGGTTTGTAAATGTGGCCCCCGGATTATTTGCGTCAGAATCGAGTGGGCTCCTTGTAGAAAGTGCAGATTCATCCAAGCCCCACTGAAACAAAATCTCAGAAGTGGAGCTTACACATCTGCACGTGCACGAACTTTCCATATAGTTCTGAAAAACAGTCAAATTTCAGTGAACTAAAACACTAAGTTACATCCATATAACATCAAGGAGACTCCCCCTTATAGCTCATCAACAAATGGGTGTTCACTCACTCATTCATTCATTGAACACTGCATTGAGTACCTGTGCAGAGCTTAATGATTGGTGCATAATATATGAGCCTTGTCTTCAAAAAACCTTCGAGTCTAGAAGAGACAAATAGATAAACATGTATAAGACAATGAGGTGTCAAAGCAGTGTAATGTATGACTAAGGGGAAAGGAGACTCCACTGGGACTTGCACCATGGAAAACATTCAGGAGAGATCTATGCTCTATTTATGGGACAAAAATCAGGAATTTCAGATATTTGCTTGTCTCATAATCGGGAGAGTCAGCCAGAGACTGCTCCATTCCAGCCTTGAGAAGACCACAGGGACCTCAGGGTAAACATAAATGACATATGCCACATATGCCTTGTGGCCCAAACCTGTTTGTTTATTTATTATAAGTCACTAAGTTGGAGGCTTATTCACTGGTCTGGGAGAGGAGCTGGGAGAGGGGAGAGGTCCTGGGTATGGCCCCAGCTGGGAGCTGGAGGGAGGAATACCTGCATACAGTATACATCCCTATAAGGCCCATGTACAACCAGCAATTCCTGGACATGGCTCATTGAGCCGCTCCATTCTATTCAATTCCTTGATTCTCTGGTCTGGGCCCATCCAAATTTAACTGCGGACTTGACTAATGTGACTTGGAAGCTTTGTTAAGTCACTGAGCTTAGAGATCTCATCTCTACTAGAGGCTCCACAGGTAAAGTGCATGGGGAATAGAGAGCAGACGCTTCTCACTCAGGAAAAGTTTGTGTAAATGCTACTCTTCTTCTGTCCATCTCAGAGCTGAGAAAGGATCTGTTATACTGAGAGAGTACACTTTGCTTTACAGAAAGACTTTTCCCCTTTACTTAGTAAAGGCATACGATTGTTTTAAATGACAGATACACACTTTATTTTTCAGTAACTGTGCATGTTTCTAAAAAAAAAAAACAAAATGCATGTGTAATCACAAGAAACTAGCAGAAAAAATTAGGGTGACAAGGGTATAAAAAATAATCCTCACCATCCAACTTCTGAAAAATCAAGGGCATGTTGTAAAAAACCAAAGAAAAAGAGATGATTGCGATTAAGAAACAACGTGGGATCTAAGAAAGCCCATAAACCTCTTCCAAAAAGCCTGCATGTAAAAACAACATTTCTGGTGAGAAATCAAGTCAGGGGAAACCTGTAGTTTTCCATCAGTATAATTTTAAAACAGTATTTAAAGCTGCTATTAAATAAGCATGTAGCTTAAGCCATAGATGGATATAATTAAGTAAATTCGGCAAACACATAAACAAATATTTCTCAAAACTAACCTGACTCTCTCCATAAGTCTCCAAATTTTTCTTTATGCTGGCCCTATGCTGAGCCAAAAAGGGTGTTTAAGAGACATACCTTTTGAAAACAGAATTTTTTTTTTCCAGTTTCAGGATATAGAACAATATTGCAATCCCCTAATTTTTTTTATAGAAATAAATTTGATTCATACATGTCTCTGGTCTTTTTTCAAATAGTATCTGGCTGCAGGCTTCTCTCGGGGCTGCCTTGGAGTTAGTGTCCAATTCAGGAGTTGGAGGCAGAGAGGAGACGGGTTGGGGCTAAACTCAGAGCCATAATAATTTTTTTCGAAAATAAGTAAATTCTCTCCCAGGAGAACTCAGCAGCCAAAGCTTAGTAATCCTGAAGGGCCCACGACCCCGGGGAGGCATTGCAGGCCTATTTTGGGCTTCCACCAGCATCTTCTGCTGAAGACCGCCTACGCACCGGCTGGCTGTTTATGATCTTCTTCCTGAAGGTGCCTCAGACCCTGGTGGCAGCCATCTGGGTGTGCGCACAGATTGGGAGCAGCTGCAGTGTCTGAATATTCCACAGGCCCAGCAGCTGTGAGGAAGGCACGAGGAGTTAGGACGGTCCTCCTGTTGCCGGCACACCCTGGGTTTTTTGTTTGTTTGTTTTACTGGGCTGATGCAAAATAGGGAATAGAACATCTGCCTTTCCTCTTTGTTCCTTCCCCCTCTCCTGGGGGCACTGCTACCTGCCCTGGAAGGAGGTCAGAAGGCCAGCGCCCCGAGAAGTGCCCTTTCCGATCCTGGAGCTCCCTGCCGTCTCTTCCCATGTCTCTCCATTTGTGCTCCCACCTTTACAAATGCGTTATGGGCTTCCAGCCATGACAGCGGAAACGTTGTCCTTTTCTCTCTTTATGTTAGGCCTTTATTAATTTACGGTAAAATGGTAGCAATATCAGTGAGTCATCTCCCCAAATTTGGGAAATAAAGAGAATGCTTCTTTTTAATGTTATCTGAATAGCATTTGAATGTTTAAAAAAAATCCACAAATAGTGGACCAGAGCAGGTATGATAAAGTCACCTTAAGGAAAGTGCTAGCATGCGGCCGAACACTAAGAATTGAGTCCATGAATTGGCAACAGCCATATTCTTTCCACTCTCGTGGCATCGTGTATTATTACCGTACACAATCAGGCCTTACACATTTATTTCTGATTTGGGATGAACAACGTGACTGTGGATGCTATAGGTGGATATGTATACAAAAGAAAGGCCAATACAAGGCCTGAAAATACTAAACAAAGATCACCAGCTTAGTTTTTTGATAGAATTTAGTTGAAAAAGAAGCCTTGTTTGCCCTGGCCGATTAGCAGCGGTTAGAGCATCGGCCTGAGGACCAAAGAGTCGTGGGTTTGATTCTGGTCAAGGGCACGTATCTCGTTGCAGATCAGTCCCCGGCCCTGGTTGGGGTCGTGCAGGAGGCAACCAGTCGATGTGTCTTTCTCACATCAATGTTTCTCTCTTTCTCTCTCTCTCTCTCTCCCCTACCATCTTTCCCACTCTGTCTGAACATAAATAGAAAAATATCCTTGGGTGAGGAGGAAAAAAAAAAAGAAGCCTTGTTATAATTCTAGGTATATGACTATAAATGTTACCACGACTTCCTTGGCTTCAGTTCCTCACTGAGAAATTGGAGATGATTTTAGCCGTGTGAAAGTTCTGAGGGTTATATTATTAATAACTGTAATGTGCTTGGTATTGTGCCTGACTTACAATAGGCTCACAGTAGGTTTGCAGAAAATCACTATTATTGCTTTTGTTTTTATTGTTATCATCACTACTCAGATTATGATGGGTATCATTCAAATGAACTGGATATGAGCAACACAGTTTAGAGGTTAAGAGCATGTGTTTTTGCATAAGATATGCCTGCGTTCAAGCTCCTACTTAGTTATTTACTTGCTTTGTGACCTTGGGCAAGTAACGTCTCTAACCTTCCATCTTTTCACTGATAAACTGGGAAAGATAATAGTAATTTACTAAAGGTAATTTACTGCATTACTTTTGGAATAATGTCATGTTCACACAATAGCAAATTAACTCAGGCACTGGCATATGGCAACTATTCAATAAATATTGACTATGGTTATTATGGTTCTATTGTTGGAATTTTATTCTAAAATTAGGACACATTATTTGTAGCCTTCCTGGGATTATCTTGCAGGCTTCAGAAGAAAGTAAGAGTGAAATAAAACTTACATGGTCCTGATTTATAACTATAAGAACTTCCTTATTAATTTAGAAAAAATATGGGAAGAAAATTCACTGGCTTATTAAGGATAAACTGAGAAGCCCCGGCTTAGTGGGAAGGACATGGGCCTGGCAGTCCAAAGGCCTCTGTTACAGGCCCAGGCCTGCCAACAATCAGCTATGTTGCTTTGGCCAAACTATTAACATTGCAGCCTCAATATCATCATCTGTAAAATAAGGCAATTTGGACAGATGATCTCTAAAGTTGAAAATTCTCCGAATCTGGTCTAATGAGGTCTTATCATTCAGCTTTGGCTCTCTGAGAAGGAAAATGTAGTACTTTAAGTGGAATGAGAGTAAGGGAATAGAATAAAATATAAAGAATGGTCCTTATTGTCCTCCTTTTACATGATAATTTTTTTTTTCTCCGTTGATGTAATAGTTGGCTTTTTTTAAAGTTTTCCCCTAAAAAGTCCAGATGCTATGATTTCATCAACCACAAACAAATGGGGCAGGGCTGGTGAGGTCCTGGGAAAATGAATATAATTCCTGCAAAACAAAGTTTATATCCTAACTAGTTGTCCCAAAAGGACTAGATGGACTCATACCCATTAGCACTCTGAAACCAAACAAATACATGATTGATTGTAAATTTTCCATCTAGCTTAGTACTATATTTAAATTATTAACACCAGATAACTTACATTAACTTATCTTGCTCTTGGATTTTTATGTGAAGTATCAATCAAGTGTGATTATTCTTTCTCTGGGTCCACAGAGAGCACGTCTGGCCACTAATATGATGACTATACTACACCAAGTGACACTACTTTCAAATATTCAACTATTTTCTGGACAAAAATCAATATAAAGATTTTAAGCTAAAGCAACCATTCTCTTCTCTTTTTGGCAGTAATTCAAAAGTACAATTTTGCTCACAGTTCAGGATATGAGCAGCTTTTCATAAATAATTATCTACATGTAAAAACTTCCCAATGGCTCAACACATGGATTCGTAAGTGATATTGAACTTACAAATCTATTTTCCTTAGGTGTTTTAATTCATTTTCCCTGGATCACATTATGCGTTGAAGTATATGTTGGAGACAAACAGGGAACATGTTACTGTTACAGTTTGCAGACCAGGAACTAAAGACATACTGTGAAAGATATACCATTTAATGCAATAAGTACTAACCCAGCAAGAGAAGAATTCTGTTATGATATATGACTCAGGGAAAGGCCACTTCAGCCAAACAGTTCATTTTGCACAAATTTTTAATATAGTGACGTTTTTAAAATACTTAATGACAAACATGGCCCATGCATCAACTAATACTGAGGGGCTGGGTCTAGGGGTAGCATCAAGGGGTTAAGGGCAGTAGCAATTTATTAACTTGTATTTCACGTTTCAATATTATGACAATCAACATGAACACATTTACAATATACTGGGTGAATATCAGATCTAGCTCTAAATTTGAGAAACTTCCAGAGACAAGAGTGATGAAGGATCAATAGTTGTACTTGTATAGAAATAAAATCCCAATACGATATAATCCCCAATAGTGTTCAATCACTCTCTTTACTTGGTATGTCTTTACTGCCTGATAACTCCCTTGCTGATTTCTGTGCTCAAGGCATCATCATATGCCAAAAACGTTTCTGACCCCCTCCTTTACCTCCACTTTCCATCCTCACCCCAAACTGGGCTAAATGTCTGCCCCTATAGAACCATATATTTTCTATCACAACACTTGCAATTGCAATGGATTGTCAATATTTTTTTCCTGTCTGTCCCACTTCCTCAGTTCTAAGTTTACTTAATATACAAGAATCTCCACTACCTAGAAGCAGGAAATGTATCTGTCTTGTTCTACTGTGTCTCTGGAACAAAGTAGACCCTCAATAAATATTTGCAGAAGGAATAAATCACCCAGAGTGCTTTAAAAAGTTCCATCCAGGTTCTATCCCTAAAGATTCTGATGTATTTTAAGCAAGCATTGAAAGGGATTCTCATGGAAATTATTCTAAAATATTTTTATTCCTAGAGCCTAGATATGATATATTTAGCATTTCATTAATTTTTTTCTTTTTTTTTTTTTATCCTCACCTGAGGACACTTTTTCCACTTTTTATTCAGATAGAGTGGGAGGGAGAGCGAGGAAGAGAGAGAGAGAAACATCGATGTGAAGGGACACATCCAGTGGTTGCCACCCGCACGACCCAACCAGGGCCGGGAACAAACTGCAACCAAGGTACGTGCCCTTAGTGGGAACCGAACCTGGGTCTCCCTGGACCACAGGTCGAAGCTCTAAGCGCTGAGCCAAACTGGCCAGGGCTCATTAATTTTTTCCATCCACTTGTATTCATTTGCTAGGGCTACCATCACAAGTGCCACTAACTGAGCGGCTTTAGCTACAGAAATTTGTCTCTCAGTCTTGGAGGCTGTTAATCTGAAATAGATGTTAGCAGGGTTAGTTCCTGCTAAAGGCTGTGAGTAAAAGATCTGTCCAAAGACTCTCTCCTTGGCGTATGGATGGCCGTCTTGATGTTCACATGGCATTCTCCCTGTATTTGTGTCTTTGCCCAAATTTCTCTGGCTTATAAGGATGCCAATCATAATGGATTAGAGGCCACCCCATGCCCATGGCTTCACTAAGTATATCTGCAACCACCCTACTTCCAAATAAAGTCACATTCTGAGGTACTGGAGGTTAGAAGTTCAACATATGAGACAAAATTAAACCCACAACACTACCTTTTATTTATTTTGCACCTCTGAGTCCTCTCCCATGAGAGATGCAATAAAATATACTGAATATATGACAAACTCTGAAGAGGTCTGCTGATTTTGCTATGCCAATGTTAGCTAAAATATAATGTTGACATTATATGTATATTTAGATTTATGCAAGAGCTGTGTTCTCTAAAAGTTGAGTTAATTAGCCCTGGCCAGTGTGGCTCAGTAGTTTAGAGCGTTGCCCTTTGCACTGAAGGGTCACAGGTTCGATTCCTGGTCAAGGGCATGTACCTGGGTTGCAGGTTCCATCCCTGGCCCCAGTCAGTGAGTTTGCAGGAGGCAACCAGTTGATGTGTCTCTCTCCCATCGATGTTCACCCACCCCTTCTACTTTCTCTAGAAAATTAATGAAAAAATATCCTCAGGTGAGAATTAACAAAAAATAAATAAAAATAAAAGGTTGGGTTAAAGTTTTGTTAACTTATGTTTTTAAAGCCACATAAGAATATGCCAATTAAAATATCTCTTTGAAAAATCCTGTGTAAAATTTAGTACCTTTCTGTTAAAATAATTATTCTCTTGTACCGATCTTGAAACTTCAATTCAGCTTTTCTTGAAAGCAGGGCATTTTTAACTAGAAATATACAATTATTGTATGGTGAAGACAGACAAATTTTGAATGGATATGAGGAACAATTTTGGACCTATCCCTTGAGAAAGACCCTCTGAATACAAAATAGGAAGTGCAGACTATAGGCAAACCCATGATAATGGACTACAGAACAAAAGAGAAGTATTACAGGAAAGTACAATTTTGTGTACCAAAGATTAAGCTTCAAAAATTTAGACAACACACACACACACACACACACACACACACACACACACACTAAGATCCTTTAACTTTCTATTTGAGATGATGGTGAGGTGAGGGTCCAAATTTCATATTCATTCAAAATATATTGAGTTTACAATGTACTAGAGGCTTTGATCTATACATAAAGACATAGAACTTGTTTTCAAAGAGCTCACAGTCAAGTTATAGAGATGGATTTGTAAATAAACCCATCCAAAAAAAGCCGACTGTATTAGGAGTACCATGGTTTCAAGATGTTTCTAATTTTAAATATATTATTCCATAATCCCTGTATTTTTCATACTAAATTTACATATCCTGATTTTTCCTTCCTCCCTCCCTCCCTCCCTTCATCCCTCCCTCCCTCCCTCCTTCCCTCCTTCCTTCCTTCCCTCCCTCCTTCCTTCCTTCCCTCTCTCTTTTTATTCTTTCACTATTTTTATTTTTTAATATTATAAACACTAGTCCTATATTTGTTATATATATTGAAAATAGTTTCCCAAATTGTCGTTCAATTTTTTCAAGATTTTTTAAAACCAGTTTGTACTAATACCTTTCTTTGGGTTTGATTCTCTAAGCATCAGTTTCTCCATATCATTACGGAGGTAACAGTCTCTCCCACAAAGCATCACACTGAGCTTCAAAAGAGATAAAGATCTCAAGTGCTTAGCATAATATCTGGCATGAAATATTTGTTGATCTCCCCTCTTTCTTCTGATTATTAGAGGTCCTGGTTTTATTCCTAAGTATTTTATATTTTTCTGGCTATTATAAACTATAGCAGCTTTGGAAATATTTTGGTAATGGAAGTGTTTGGAATGGAGGGAATGTTATTTTACTGCCATATTGTCATGATTTCATATAACTGGCAATATTCAAAAAAGTTAAATGGTTATTTCTAGATGCCTCTCATACCGCACAAACAATATGCAACATGCTGTTACATCTGCTTATTTTCACTAATCAAACAAGAATTTATTACATAGCCACTTCCATAGATGTAACAATATCAATGAATTGCCTAAACATAATGCTAAAGCAAGAAGCCAAACATTCCATAAACAAAGAATCACCAGTCTTCAGTGTTTTTCAACCACATCAGAGGAAGTCATCTGATAAATTGTGTTTGATTATAGACATATGAAGTGAAGAGGACAAGAATCACAGTAACATTTTGTAGTTGTTCCAAATCACCAAATGTATTTTGATCTTAGCTTTTCCATTACATGTAACGAGATTATGTAATTGTAAATCCTTAGAAAACACTTTTAGCTATAATAATAACACGACATTCCTACAAAAGAAAAAAAATGACAATTCCCTTGGCCAACATAGTTTGGCTTAAAGGAATTCAATGGTTCTAACGAATTTAGGTAGACAAGTAAATATAAATGATTGCTGAATGCTACAAATGTAAATACAGTAGTCCCCCTTATCTGTGGGAGATATGTTCCCAGATCCCCAGTGAATGCTTGAAACCACAGATAGTACCCAACCTTATTATACTACGTTTTTTTTTTCTATACATACATAGCTTTGATAAAGTTTAATTTATAAATCAGGCACAGTAAGAAATTAACAATAACTAATAATAAAATAGAACCATTCTAGTAATAAATTATAATAAAAGTTAATGTGAATGTGATCTCTCTCCCTCTCTTAAATATCATACTGTACTGTACTTGCCCTTTCTCTTCTTGTGATGATGTGACCTGATACAATGCCCATATTATGAGATGAAGTGAAGTGACTGCTATAGATCTTTTCAGACCAGGGTTGGTCATGGGTAATTGAAACTGTGGAAAGCGAAACCACGGATAAGAGGGACAGCCGCGTATTATATGCAGCACTGACAATACGCAGTTTTGAGGATGTGCATACATAAACTATAACAGTAAAATAAAACCGAGAACTAAAGCCTTGTTTTAGAAAGCCCTCACATCTGTCTCCATTTGCTTTCATTATTTGACCCCATCTTCACTTCCCATTAAATATATTAGCTAGAAACATAAAGACATACATAGACATTTGTTGACTGTCTATGTTGAACCATAATAACTCCTTTGTTCATTTTTGAGAAATATAATCCAAGGGAAATAGCCATTTAACTTCTTCTCTCATTCAGAAACTTCTGGGACATGCTTGGAAAAATCATACTGCCATTCTTTTCACCCATGCAGAAAAATAGAAGAGTCTGGGTTAGGATAGCTGGATACTTACAGGAGGCCTCCGATGCACTGCGAACCCTACTGACTTCTATTCAGACAGATACATTTTCCAGTATAAACAAGGGAACTCACTCAATGAACAAAGAATAAAAGTCCTAGAGAAAGTCATGGAATTTATAAGAGAAAATTGTTACCAAGTTCTTACCTTTAAATAAAATTGAGATGAAAGGAAGAGTGTTGGGTATAAATGTGAGAAACCTGGTTTCAGAAGTATCTTCATCAGAATGGATGTGGACCATGAGAATGTACACTGGTATAAACACTATGAAAATTATCCAAATGTTCATGGACAGTAGCATGGATAAGCAAATTGTGGTATTTCGCACAATAAAATGCCATATGGTAATGGGAATGCATGTAACAATATCAATGAATTGCCTAAACATAATGCGAAAGCAAGAAGCCAAACATATTCCATAAAAGTTGTAACAAACTTGACTACCTTTTCCCTATATTCTTGTGAATTTGTGTTTTCATCTTTTTTTTTTATCCTCACCTGAGGACATCTTTTGTTCAGATAGAGTTGGAGGGAGAGAGAGGAAGAGAGAGAGAGAGAGAGAGAGAGAGAGAGAGAGAGAGAGAGAGAGAGAGACATCGACATGAAAGGGACACATTGAGTGGTTGCCTCCCACACGACCAACCAGTGAGCAGACCGATGCTCTAACCGCTGAGCCAAACCAGCCAGGGGCTGTGTTTTCATCTTAAAAACCTATAGCTAACAACAGTTTGGTAAATGAAAAGTCATATCTTACTTTAATGTGCATTTCGAAGACTGTTACTGAACTAAAGTATCTTTTTATAAACATATTGGTCATTTAGATTTGCTTTTCTATGAATTACCTCTTTATATTTTTTTTTTGGTCATTTTTCATTTGCATTACTACTCACAGATTCTTTGCTTGACCAAAACTTTAGAAAGCCTCCTGAATCTTCTAGGCCCATTTATGCACTGTAAAATCTAGTTTTAGCAAGAACCCTGCTAGTCAGTTTACCAGAATCCTCTACCTGCGTTTTTCTGATCCAGTTCCTCACCCTCTGTTATCCCCCAGGTGATGTCTGATCACCCGGGCCTTTCTGCAGCAAAGATCCTGTTAGGTCTGTTTGGCCAGATGCCCTCCAGCCCTTGATGCTTCCTCTTAGTGATTGTCCATCCATAGATCCCCACCCTGCTACTTGGCCATATTCCCACTTGCCCATGCTGTCTTTGGAGTTGGGCCCAACTCTCTCCCCACTATAAAATCTCACTGTGGTTCCTATACTTATGTTGATGGGCCTGAATTACCTTTAGATCTGGCATACCAAATTTAACAAGTGTCATTGAATATTTTGTTATTCAACACCTCTTGCCTGACAAATTGGAGGAGCTCTGTATTATAGATAATAGCCCTCCACCTGTCTTTCGCAGTGCAATTTTTTTCAATATTATTTATCCTTTACCTTTGTTTATAGTTAATTTTTGCCAAATTAAATTTGTGAATTTTCTTACGGTTATATATTTCTATGTACATGATATGAGGCAGGATTTTTAGTTTCCCTTCATTTCAGATGTAAAACAAATTGTATTTGCTCTATTTATTAAATAATTCATCCTTCTACTGAATAAAGGTAAACAGACTGAGGTAGGTATATAGAGATATATCTTCTTTACTTCTGGGTCTCTTCTGAATTCTTAATTCTTTTCCATTATCAATTTTATGTATAACGCTGTCAATCCCAGGATGATTTAACTAAAATAATTTTATGTCACTGCTAGATATCTAAAAGAACAAGTTTCCTTTGTTTTTCTTTTTTTCAAAAATATTTTCTTGCTGCTCTTAGACATTGATTGATATTTATATTTCAGATCTTTGTTTCTAATTTCAAAAAAAATATTTTGTATTATGTTATGACAAATGACATTCTGAGATATCAAATCCTCCTGTGCAAGCATACAGGATGTTTCCCTATCTTCCATTATTATTTATTTTATGTTACTATAGTTCTTGCGTTTCTCTTTTTCTTACTTTTGATTTGATAAAGTTTCTATTTATTTAATTTTTATTCTTGATAATCTGGAAGTTCTAACTCATGCCCATTAAGGATTTTTCCTTTGGTCCTGAATTCAGAATCAAGGTCATACTTCTCACTACTGTTTGATAACAAGGTGACTACTATTTCCTTACCAAGAACTTACATCCCCCTCTGCATCATCTCCTCAACTATGAAAATAAGACCCTTAGAACACTTTCCTCCCTCCCCATCCTCTTCTCCTGCCCTTGTCCCCCCTAGACAAGAGGTCTTTGGAATACTTTTCTTTCCCCATATTACCAGATATCACTAAGATAGTTAATAATGCAAGGCTCACCCATACAGATCCTCCCTTCTGTTTCAAAAGTCCTCTTTTAGCATTTACATTGAACATGCCTGCTGGTTTATCATTATCGCTTTAAATATACAAATATTAGAAAGTCCATTCCTCACCAGTTTTTTCTTCATTTCCCCCCATCTTTTTGGTTAGTGTATTTTCATAGTATCTTCTGAATTCTAGTACAATATCCAAAAGGCATTAAATTCCAGGTATGCTCTTCAACGCACCACTATGCAATAGCAATCCTAGCTCCTCATAATAATCAGCAGAGTGGATGTAGGGACATGATTTGTTAGTTGGTAATGGAATAGTTGAATCATAAGAATGCTGATGCAATGAAGCGAACATCTGTGCTGTGCTCTCTGTGAAGCTGGCTTGTTCAGCTTTTTCTGGATGACAATGTATCCACTGAATAAGCTCACTATTATTGGAGATAATTACAACTTGCAACAAAAGACCCATGTGACCAGAATTAGCCTTAGGTAAAATAAATGTCCAGAAAGTTCATCTTTGGCACCCTGCCTCGAGAGTCTATAATTTGCAATCTTTCCTCGTGTCCCTCCAGATGTCCAATCTGTATGCTATTCTCACCTGGAAGACAAAAATCTCTACTAAATTTTATATTTGACTTTGGGCAGTAGGTACACAATGCAATATCCAGATCAAGTATCATAGAAATCTATACTTAAAACCTATATAATCTTATTAACCAATGTTACTCCAATAAATTTGATTTAAAATAATATAAATCATTTAAAAACAAAAATAAAATAAATTTGATATTTGAAAGTGTTTTGAATCTTTTAGAGAACTGGAAGACAGCACACTTGATATTTTTGTGCAGTTGGGTTAGAATCTTACTATGTATATATCATCTTGGGGCAATAGTAATTCACTCCTGGTACTTACCAGGTCTGACCTTACCAGGTTTATTCCTCTAGATGCATTACCTTAATTGACAATTCAGACCGTCTTTTTTAAAGTTGTATTTATACTCTGCCTTATTTTAATAAATAATTTGCTTAAAGTTTCTGTTCTATTGCTTTTCAAAAATATAAAAATTATTTTACAAAAGGCTAACATTATTTAATATTAACAGTGGCATTGCTATTTCCCAGATTCTCAAACTTTATTTAAAAAATAAGTCTCTTTTCACAAGCATCTGAAGGGTTTTTGTTTTTTGTATCTGCAGCTTTAAGAGAAATGTTATCCTTTTATATGAAAACTGAAGGTTATGAAAAAGTTATTTCCATCAAAATAATTCTTTTGCTAAACTTATTGAAAGTGACTTTAGTTTGTATTTTTCATTAATCTTTTTCAAAGAGAAATCAAATTGTGGTGTTGATTCTGGATGATTCATGCACCATTCTTTCGAAATTTCCCAGGTGTGAAAAGTTGAGTGGGTTTTAAATTAATACGTATCAGCCACAGATGCAATCCTAGAACTGAAAAGTTAAGTGGATACATTGAGAGCATTTCTCTACTGGGATATATGATATTCTAATGAAGCAATTTACAAAAACAAATGTAAAACTTTGTCAGAGCAGCCTTGATACCATGGGGCATCACATAAATGCCACGGTAGAAATGAGTAGATTTAAAAATTGCTATTGGAACAATTCCGTAGGTGTTATGTAACCAAGGGAAAGGTGAGAAGAGTAGTTAGCCCCTTCATTAGAAAGGATTCCGAAAAAAAACTAGGGAACATCTAAGGGTGAAAAACAGTATACAATAATTAATTCATACTCTGAAATTCCAGATGGTTCACTTGCAAACCAACAGTTATTTCATTGTTTTAGATCTTTTCTCCCAGATTTTTTTTGGAGTTATATTCCTATGAATTATTTCTGCTAAGACACCTGAAGGAAAAACCACACTGTAAAAAGTGCCGTGAGCGAGAATGTGTAAGTCACTAACTCCTTTCCATTCCAACAAGTGGGTATTTGAAGATCCAGTTTTTTTTTTTTTAAATCCTCATCCGAGGACATTTTTCCATTTTTTGTACAGACAGTGTGGGAGGGAGAGAGAGGAAGAGAGAGAGAGAGGGAAACATCGACATGAAAGGGACACATCGAGTGGCTGCCACCCGCACGACCAACCAGGGCCGGGGACAAACTGCAACCGAGGTACATGCCCTTAGCGGGAACCGAACCCCGGTCTCTCCGGACCGCAGGTGGACGCTCTAACCGCTGAGCCAAACCGGCCAGGGCGAAGATCCAGTTTTGTATAGAGGCAGACTAGCCATCATTATTTTCATTATTATTACACATTTCAGGGTTGTTATCCAAGTGGTACTGCAAACAGGGTATTAACTATAAAGAGTTTTTCCTGGTTAAAATATCTATCTGCCTGCCCATCTACCAAGCATCAATCTATCTAAAACTTATAGTGACTTCCTCCATAGGCTGGCGTCTGGGATGAATTGTCATTACATGAACAGTACCCTCAACAACAGTATACAATTCAAAGAATCAAGACCATGTGGCTTTTTAGAAAGGTAACCACTGCCAGCAGCAACAGCCTGGTTTTGCCAAGTTTAATTCTTCCTGAGAACTTCAGTAGCAAAAAGAAAACATATTTGATAAATTCTCTTTGCAACAACTTCCAAAGGAGTGTTTAATAATCTCATGACTTCCCTTAGAACCTCTTAAATATACGAAAGAGGCTACCTACCCTCATCTCCTTACATGAATTACTAGAGCTCAGGTTGTTTTTATCACTGTCTTTTCCTACAATTTAAACAAAAGTTTAACTTCGCAAATAAAAGAAACCATGTGACTAACTGACATGGAACAAGGTGTGTTGTAATGGAGAAGAGCACAGAATTAGTAAAAATGGAAAGATCTAGGTTTCAGCTAGTTCTACCTTAGCACAGGCATTTACCTAACTTTTCTGATGACTCTTCGGGGAAAAACAGCTGGTGTACCTCTAAGGAGTTAAGAAATTAGGAAGGTTTATGAAAGTACTTTGTTAGCTATAAAGCATTAAATATCTAAATAACAATTGTATAATAAAATACATGACAGTAGACAGATATTACTATATCCCCATAATTCTTGTGAGAAAAAGGAAGTGTTATTCTTTACCTAAAATTTTGAAGGGCAAAGCTTTCTCCACAAGACAGCAATTTGCAATACTATTGTGAGTTGAGTCATTTTAACTTGCCTCACTTTTTTATTTGTACCACGGTCATAAAGTTGCTTTTCACACCGTTGCACAGCTCGTAGAACCAGGATTTGTGTCATGATTTATGTAGCCAAAGTACACAGCTCATATTGTGCACTTCCGATGTTTTTACATTTTTAAAGGTACAACATAGAATTATACTGGAAAATTGAGGAGGTATACTTATACCCCTTTAATGTTCCTATTATAAGCAATAGTGAGGTGTTGCTCCTTTACCCATCAAAAAACTTGAAAATATGATTGCTTCTATTTATGTTAAACACAATAATTTGACGTCTTGCTAGTCTAAGAAAATTACAAATCTACTTTAGACTTTATCAATGATATTAAACCAGTGAAGGAGCATCAATGAAGAGGGCTGGCCAGCATCTAAATGTCTAATCAATGAATTTCAGTGGGAGTACCGAGAGTTTCCATAATGAACATCTCTACTGAGGAAGAGATATTACATCTAATGTAGAGGGACCATCAGGTATGTTGAAAGACAGGGTCACAGCCTATATGTAATACTCCTTTAGATACTCTGTTCAATTTATACACACCAAGTGATCTCAACAAGAATTCAACTTCTCAGGAAGTTTTCAGAAACACGTTTCTGGAAAGGAACATCCCTATCATAAACTCATATCAACATAATACACAGCTCTTATATTACAGACATTAAGTGCTCTATGGGCACTAACTCACACAATCTTCACAACTCCATGAGGTAAGGACGGTTATTATTTATACCCATGTTACAGATGAGAGAAATAAGGTACACAGAGGCTGAACGCTTGCACAAGGTCACACAGGCAGTTAAGTTGTAGAGGCAGGCATCAACACTAGGTAATTTGGAGTCAAAACCAATACAGGGCACCATGGATTTCTTATAATCTACAAATGCAGGCTTTTTAGCCTGAAAAGCTAAAGCCCAGTCAACCAGGACCTAGTTAAACTCACTAATTGTGCTCCATGAGGCCCTATCCATACCTTCTATCTTGGCTGACATGCTTCCTAATAAACATCCATGAATTACTTTCAATATTTTGTAAATAGTCTAAATGGAAATTTACATTAATTTTTAAAAAAGCAACAACAAACTGGTTAGTGGGCACTTACGGTTCTTAGAATTGTAGAGTACTTAATGTTCTTAGTAGAAGCAAGGCAGAAAAAAAATGTCTAACTTTTATATTAAAATCAACCTCTCCTAAAAATGACTCATCTAAAATTAAATAAAAATACATGGAACTTCTAGATATAACAAAAGATACCCTCCCCCATATTCATGTATAATAGTGGGATGTCCTAGATGAGAAAATATCTTGGGGTAAGGTCAGATTTTTGTTCTGGTTTAGTTGGCAATAAATACATGGATGTCAAAAGGCACCAACTGTTCAGCCTGTGAACTACCACTACCTCCTATCATTAAAATCCTTAAAGGGCTGGCTACCATTCAAAATCCAGAAGAGCTATGCCCCATTCACTAACAATGCCATTTCTTGTTGTTGCTGATTCTCTAAGAGCTCTTTCATCCCAGCAATACAAATACAACAGAATTAAGTTTTCTTTTTTTTTTTTTATCCTCACCCGAGGACATTTTTCCATTTTTGTTCAGGTAGAGTGGGAGGGAGAGAGGAACAGAGAGAGAGAGAGAAACATCGATGTGAAAGGAACACATCGAGTGGCTGCCACCCACACAACCGACCAGGGCCGGGGACAAACTGCAACCGAGGTACGTGCCCTTAGCGGGAACCGAACCCGGGTCTCTCAGGACCGCAGGCCGACGCTCTAACCGCTGAGCCAAACCGGCCAGGGCAGAATTAAGTTTTCTTTAAAAACAACAACTGAATGAGCTAAATTGATAACTTGATTAATGTTTTCATGTAACTTGAATAAGGAATAAATATTTCAATTAAGTAGTTGAAATATCCTTTAAATTATATTAGAAATATTTAAAGAAACTTGATATAATTAAGAAAAATTAGAAAATACAGAAACACAAAAGACTTTGCCACATTCTTTATTTCCAAAATAATAGATCTTGAGTACATAACTTTGAAAACTCATTTGTGTTTAGTTATCAACATATGTTAATGATGCTGTTACTATTCAGTTTTTCAGAAAAAATATCAAATTCTATTACAGTATTGTATCCTGGTCTACCAGAACTCCATGGACTTAATTAAATAAATGAACTTTACTCATACTTTTCATAACTCAGCATGTAGCGTTGTACAATTTTTTGTTTTGCTTCTCCTTAATGGAGGCATAAATTGCTAGTGCTAGAATTTTGAGTGTGAGACTTTCTTTCAAATAATAGCTATACTCCTTCTTCCACAGATGCATTTGTTTTGGCAGCACAAATCACCAGTCATCATCTCAAGGCTAATAAACTTGAAGCTAGTAATTCTTGAGTTCTCATTGTTCCTTGAATATCTACAAAGTGTGTGAAAATAGGCTTTTGACACCCTAATGTATATTAAGTTTTTTGGCTGCCATATCTTTTAATATTTGGACAGTATGATGGTTCATGAAAAAAAATATATCAATATTAAATGGTCTTATAAAGATAATAAGCCATAAATAATGTTTTATTTGGTATCCAACGAATCTTTAAAGTCAGCTGGAGTAAAAAAATAGACTGCTGCTTTTACGGTCAATATATTGGAAAACTACATTGGCAACACTTTGCAATGTGTTTATGCTTCATAATCAAATTTTACTACTAATTATTTTGCTCAATGGAAAGAAAAGCTCAACATACAGTTGGAAATTTCAGTCTTTTTAAAAAATTGCCTTAAATATACAAGTTTGGGTTACTTTGGCAAGGAATAGCAATAATGTTCAAATGCCTTGTCTCTTAGCTTTTATGATGTTTGGCTCTCTAGAATCAAGTTGTTCATTTCCAATATTATTACAGTATGACTAGTACAATAAAACTTTACACACATTCTGATTTGTCATTTGAAGAAGAGAGGATATTTATAACATAGATACACAATATACTAAAAACCAAAGGGCTTGAAATTTCATGTATCACGTGCCTATAAATAAGAAAGTAAACATTAATCTAGTTCAAGTTATCTAAAAATGCACCAGGAAAAGACAATCTGCTAACCTACATCCCTGCTAAAAAAATAAATTACCACAAAACATGGGGCATTTCCTCCCTACATTATAAAGGATCAAAAATTATAGGTAAAAATAGTGTTTCTCCAATCAATTGAAAACAATATATACTAGGTAATATTCTAGTCTAGAAGAGAAATAACACAAAAATGAGTCAGTTATATTTTAGGCATAAGTGATAAATGTATTTTTTTATTGTTATTAAAGTTTTTTTTCCAATGATTTTCAGTAAATGAAGCATTTTAACTTAATTTTATTTTATTCCGCTGTTGGTCATAGTTTGCGCCCGACACACCCCCTTCCCTTTCACTTCAAAGGGAGCTCCTCTGTATGTGGCCACACACTCAGCATTGGTGTAAAGATCAGGCTGGATCTGCTCCCAAATCTTCTTCTTAGGATTCAACTCCTTGTCAGGCTCTCCTGTTGGGGAAAAATAAACTTATATAGCTAACACATTAAATAAATTGTCCATAGACATTTCTAGTGAACTGTAGTGGCAGTACTTTCTGACTTTACACCTGATCAGCATTTTAGCATTTACTATTAATACTTACTTTATTTTTATGATGTTAGTAGCTTATATTCTTGATTGGCAAAATATGTCATTTCCTAACAAATATTAAATATGTTAATTTTCACTCTTACACTAAATATTTTCTCAAGTAATATGGATCAGCAAATTTATTCCAAAATTTAAAATAAAAATATATGATACTCTTAAAGAAAAACTGTGAAGGGATAAAAGTATAATTTCATGTATTATATTTTTACATGTGGCAGAAGCAGTGCATGTTTTACTGTATGTTTCATCATACAAAATAAATGCCGCAACTGCTGCTACAGTGCTAAGATTTCTTTGTTGTTGTTAATTCTCACATGAGGATATTTTCCATGAAGTTTACAGAGAATGGAAGGGAGGGTGGGGGAGAGAAACATCGATGTGAGAGAGACACACCGGCTGCCTCCTGCACATGCCCCGGCCACAGCTGGGATAGAACCTGCAACCCAGGTATGCGTCTTTGACTGGGAATCGAATCCATGACCCTTCGGTGTGTGGGCTGATGCTCTACCTATTGAGCCACATGGGCCAGGGCTTAAAATTTCATATACATACTAGAGAATGATTTAAATATTAGGATTACCTAGCTAAATACAACTACTTTGGGTTCTACCTGCAGGGCATTCCATTTGGTGAGATGGAAAGAGACAGAAAGGGGTAGAAAGGAGAGAAGGACCAGTATTTTCTAAGAACCAGGAATATATGTTGTTGCATGCAATTCACACAACAACACTGACTCTCATTTCAAATATAAATAAACCGGGACTCAGAGAAGATAAGTTGTGGGAAGTCACACAATCAACAACTGAATTCAGAATTGGACACCAAAGCTCTGTTCTGCTAGCACAGACCTTGACTCCTAATAAACTACGCTTTAGAAAAGAAACATCATTCTGACATGTGGATAATGCCCCATCCCCTCACTTTATAGTAACTCACACTATAAAGTTTACAATCAATGAAAGACAAATGAATGGTAAAAAATATCTGTTTAGGCTTAAAGACAACCACTATACCAAGCAAACCCTCTTAATGAATAAGAAAGTAGAGAGGAAAGTTTAATATAGTAGCATTTTAATACCTGGAGATATTCAATAACATTTAGAATGAAGAATCAGTTTTTATTATTGAAAGTATTACAGATGTTCTCCTTTTATCCCAATGAGCCCCTCCTTCCCACTCCCCGCCCCTGCCTTTCCGAGCCTAGTGTCCATGTGTTGACTGGTTGTGCATATATGCATGTAAGTTCTTTCGTTTATCTCTACCCACCCCTATCACACCCCATCCCTCTGAGGTTTGTCTGTCTGTTCCCTACTTCTATGACTCTGGATCTCTTTTGGTCGACAGCTTATTTTGTTCACAAATTAGTGAGATCATGTCAAGAAACAATTTAAAAAAGTAATGTATCTCTTAAGCATTAGCTTTAAATAAAAATGATTTTCTTGGAGGTAATAAAAAATATCACTGAAGCACAATTTGGTAATGATAGAAATACAACTTTCTAGATTTTTAAAAACTGACTCCCAAATTGAAATCTCTTGGAATTACTTCAGAAAGAATCTTTTAAACATTACTGGAAGTAATTATATTCTATATTCTGATTACATCTTATTATCTAGTGTTTATTATTCACCCATATATACATAGGAATAACAAAACTGAGTAATCTGGTTAGGCATAGTAGTTTTGTTCTTTATTAGCTCTTCAGAAACTGCCATGAAACTGGCAAGAACATATAAAACTGATATGCAGGTTTTCAGAGATGACAGAAAAGTTAACTGAATGATATATTTACAGTAAAAGAACATGCAATAACATTAAAACTGAAAGACAGTATAAAAGTGAGGATTTCTCTTTCTCCTTTAAGAGCATTAGCTTGGACATTAGTTATATTAATTAATAAAAAGAACAGGAAAAAATACCAATATATAAAGTATCTACAAGATTTTTATTTTTGTTTCTAAGCCATTCCTAGCCTCTGGTCATAATGCTACCTTATTCATGTACAAATCACGTGGAGAAGTGAACATTCCAGAATTCTGAGAAGCTGGAGGCAGAGATACTTACTATTCAGGGAGGCCTGAGTATTAGCCCTGAATTCCCTACACTCAGAAAGAGATGTTCCCTAACTGATTAGTTTAAGCATAGTGTATCAGATTTGTGTAAAACCTTCTTATAAAAGCATAGATTGTGTAGTAAAGTCTTGCTGAATGCAGACATAAGCCCCAAGTACAAAAAGCTGTGTGGTGCAGCAGGAAATTAAGTTTCTCAGATCTAGGAAGATATTGAAATATATAGAAAATAATATTCACAACAATGCATAAATCTTACATATAGTACGTACTATGGCCACTGCACTGCTTTACATATATTTATTTATTTAACTCTCTCAGCACACTATACAAAAATGATTAATTACATCCAATTTATAGATGAGGAAATTAAGGCACAAACGTTATAACTAAGAACTTAAAACAAAAGGCAGGTAGCTAAGTGTTTCAAAAATTAAGTCTCACAAAACACATATGACATAGATACTATTAAAAAAGAAACTATCTTAAAAAAACACGTACAAAACCTTCTTAGAGGTAAAAAGCTGAGACTCAGAAAGGTTCCCAGGTCACCGTGCACTTGTGGAGCCAAGATCCGAAAGTTTTAAACTTTGCAATAATTTTCAAGGAATAAAGATTTGCACTAAAAATAAACTAGAAACTGTAAGAGGAACCTCTAAAGCTTACCTGTTGTCTTTTTAAAAATAAGACTCAATACCTGAATACTCTGAATGTAGTTCCTAGACTTTAACAAATCAATAAATGAAACAATGATTTGGATAAATAATATGAGATTATTATTAAAACCTGTCACATCATGATCACTGAATATAAATCAGAGTTGAAAACCCCGGATGCAGTATAAACCTGGCTTATTGAGTATGTTTCTGAACAATATACTTTTGGTAGGGTATAAAGCTAGTCTGAAAGTTTAAATTGCCTCCTATGGAAAACATACCTAATATTTTAAACCATTTTTTAAATGAACTATATTTTTCATAGAAGTCATTCATCATTCCAGTGTGTTACCTCCTTCTTTGAAGTCGTATTTTTCTAATTTTCTTTTCTTTCTTATCCTACCCCACACCCCTCTTTTTGGCATGGTTACGCAAAGGTAAGTGAATGATATCAATAAAAATTCTTCAAGCTAAAAACTACAGAGCCCCTGAAATTGCTAAACACCTGCCAATAATCATCATTTGGAAATGGTTACATATATTATAAAAGAACTAATCATTCAGATATTATTTTAGGCCTACTCATTCTAAACAAAACACATAGGGAACAGGAAGTACTTCAAGATAAGTTTGTACAGATGTAAAATGTGGTGACCACCTTCTCAGCATTTAAAACCGACAAAAAGCAATAAATACAAATTCTACAGTCCCAGGCATTCACAAGTGTGGAATAAGAACCAGAGACAAAAAGCAATAAATACAAATTCTACAGTCCCAGGCATTCACAAGTGTGGAATAAGAACCAGAGACTTCACTTTAATTGGGCTTTGCTTTTGCAGAAAATGTTCACTGAACATCAGCTTCTCTTTGATATCTACCATGAACATTATAAGCCTAGCACTAACTTTAAGTTTGATTAACTGAGTTTCTGAATTAAAATAATTGTAACTATTGCACAAAAACGAAAGTATAACTTGGCAAGTAGGCGGTCAATAATTTTGCAAAGCTAATCAACAGGGGAAAGTGGTTTGGTGGTTTTATAGGAATGATCTTGCAATAATGAAGACAGATTTCCAGGCCTGTTCTCAAATACTGTTGTTTATAAACATGTTTTACCAGTACATTTCTTTTTATTTATTCATTAACCAATTTACTGAGCTCCTATTCTATGACAGGTATTTTTCTAGATGATAGTAATATAGAGGTGAATAAGAACAAAAAAGAAAAATATTGATTTCATGATGCCTACGTATCTGTGTGAAGAGACACTAAATGATATTTAGTATATTAGGTGATTATACATGTTTTGGAGAAAAATAAAACAAAGATGACACTTCAAAGATCTGAATAGGATGAGGGACCAAGCAATTGGAGCTATTTTGGGAAAGAGCCAGTGGCTCAATTGCAGTGAGTGAGGAAGAAATAGGAGAGTACCTGCAGTTAATAAGATCATGAAAGGCAATCATAAGGACTTGGATTTGTATTCTGGGTTAAATGGAAAGCTTTTGAGCAAAGGAATAATATAATCTGACCTACATCCCTCTGCCTACTATAACTGAAAATAGAAAAAGGGCAAGGGCAAAAGCAGGGAGATCAGCCAGAAGGCTTTTGCAAATGTCTAGATAAGGGATGCTGGCACCAAGACCAAAGTGGTGGTGGTGATGATGGTAATGATTCTGGGTATGTTCACAAGGTATTATAACCACTATTATGTTCTGAAGGAGAAGCTGCATAAGCAAATAAATAGCATCCAGTCAGATGATATGAAAAATAGGAATTCTAGGGGGAACAATGGGATATGTATTCTCATTCTCCTTTTGGGCATGTTAGTGAAGTCTAGTAGGTAGCTAGATAAGTGACTGGATAAAATAGCCAAGGGAACAATGTTGGAGAAAAAGAGAGAGAGAGAAGAGGTCAAGTGTGGAAAGGAATCGAGAAGTTAAGGACCAAGGTCTGGGCACTGCAGTGTTAAGAAGTCATGCAGCTAAGGAAGAATCCGCAAAGGAGATGAGAAGGGCAGCCAGTGAAGCAGGACCACCAGGAAAGAGTGATGCCAGATGTCAAATTCACTGAGAAAAGGACTAAGAACTAGTCATGGATAGTTAACTACAGAGAGTAATTAGTGATCTTGATCAAAGCAATTCTGGTGGAACAGGGAAGAGAGAAACTAATTGAAATGGGTTTTAGAGAAAAGAATCAAATACAGACAAGATTTTTTGTCTTTAAAGAATGAATGGATCCAAAAATAAAACACTCGAATATTATACAGGCTTTACAATTAACCATTCACTTATATTTATTAATAACATTCAAATTTAATAGAAATAACCATGGTCTTAGAAGTTAAAAGTGTGAATGTAAATTTTATTTTTAGGACAAAATCAGTGCATTTTCCAAAAAAAGTGTTGTCGTTGCCTTTTTGTCTACTAGCTATAATATTATTTTCAAGTAATTTTTGCTTGGTGTTTTAGGAACCAGTTACCATTTTTAAATATTAAAATTTATAGCTTTACACATTTAGGATTTTAAAAAGTACTGAGTGGGGTTGGTGTTTAGCTCTTGTTAAAAAAAATATTACTTGGCATCTTCCAAACTCTATGGAAGTATTCGGTTCTATAGTTACAGAAAAAAGTTAAGTATAAAAGCCTTTCCAAGGCCAAACAGCAATTCAAAGGTTTGAGCCCCAGTTGTAATTTCTATACCACACATAATATATATATCATGAAATGTAAATCTCTAGACACTGAGCACATCAAGTGAGCATCAAAATGTACCAGCAGACACCTTAAGCTTTAAAATGCAAAACAGATGCTGAAAAATAAAGCACTGATAAATCATGCTCTCTCTGGAAAAAGAAAAAAAAAAAAAAAGACTAATGGTGTGTTGTGTAGAATTTACTGTTATTTCCTTTCAGATTAACTGCTACAGAAGCAGTAACTGATGTGTAACTATAAGCAAGATGAACATTAACAGACCTCATGTCCCCAAATTTATCAATTATTCAATGCTGTTTGGCTTGGTTAAACCTATTATAAGTGATAAGAAAATAATTCAAGCAACCTCATGGGTGATTTTAAGGTTAGGTTTCCCTTCTTTCACTTTACAAATATTTTTTGTACCTTTTTCACATATTCATGTGCTAAGGCACAAGGGGAAACTATGAATTTAGAAGAAATATCAGACTTTGGAAGAATGTAAATATAAACACACAAAACACCAAACTCAGAGACTGAAGAATAAAGGCAAGAAATTCATATAACACTATTATTATCTCTAATACTAAGTCATTGAGAAAAACTTACTTTCATTTTACTCAACAGAAACATTCAGATAATAACAAATGACATAATTGCTGAAATATTTACCTGTTAATTCTATGAGGTAAGGGAATGAAAGATCTCATAGAAATAAAAGAACTATATATCTTCATTAATGGAATAGTCCATATCAATTCATAGCAAACAACAATCAACAAACAAAAATGCTATAGTATTAGAGATTCAAGCACATTTGTTTGATCCTTCTACTAAAGCTAGATAACCTTAAGCAAGTAACTAAATTGCATCAGGCTTCAGTTTCCAAATCCATAAAATAAGAGTTAAAGGAGATGATTTATTCCATTTCTAAACATGAGACACAATTTTTATCAGGGAACTTAAAGAATGTACTACATCTGCCTGGCTGTGGTGTGGTTCAGTGGTTGAACATTGACACATGCACCAAGAGGTCGCCAGTTCGATTCCCGGTCACGGCACATGCCCAGGTTGTGGGCCTGATCCCCAGTGGGGGGCATGCAGGAGGTGGCCAATTGATGTTCACTCTCATTGATGTTTCTCTCTCTCTCCCTCTCCCTTCCTCTCTCGCTAAAATCAATAAAGGGAAAAAGAAATTTTTTAAAATGTACTACTACATCTTAAGTATTTAAATAAAAGAGAAGGCAAATGTTAGTCTGGAAAGGTAAACGTGTATATATATATGTACACACACATATATATATATGTACATATATACATACATATATATGTACACACACACACACACACATTTTTAATTTATTTTTTTCTCCGAATGCATGATAAATCTTAAAGGAAAAGTTCACCTTTATTGTTGTTCTATTCCAATTTAGTGGATGAAACTTCTAAATAAAATTTCAGGTGTCAGGTATACACATGACCACACTTACACCAAAATATGAGGTTTAGGGAAATGTTTTGATATTGTGGTACATGAATGGTGACCATATGCTGCTAGTATCTAAAGTCATCATGCTGCTTTGAGAAATGATTCAGACTGGGATTTTCTCAAAACCTAACTTAGCAAAAATTGCACAGGCCATTATAGTTTTGAATCTACCATGGTTCAAGACATACACAGGCATTCAAAGTCACAGATACTTGCACATACAATCTCTGTATTTTTTAGATTAGTCTACTTTTGATTAGGAGCAGGGAACTTAGTTTTAAGGAAATTAATTCAGTTTTCATGTACATTTTCCATCTTACTCCAATGTTAAAATTGTTCACATCCTAATATTTCATCAAACACAATTAACAGAGGATTAAAAAAACAGGCCTACATAATCACAAGAGCCTGGCTATTACATTCAAATTCAGCTCCTTCTACAAATATGTCTCCAAATCAATTCTGACTTATAAACTGAATTCTGTGTTTTTTAAAAGTTGAAATATGTTTATTATACAGTATTTTGAGTTAATATAAAAATTTAGACTGCAATAGTAATGTATGACAGTGTTCATATTTTTAATTATAAAGCATTCTTGTAAATCAATAGCAAAAAAGATGTACATCTCAATATTAACATGGAAAATGACACGAGTAGGTAAAATAAATATTTGAAAAGGTGTGAGATCACACTAGTAATCAATGAGTGGTATATTAAAATAATGAAATATTATTCACCTATAAAATTAGCATGTATGAAAAACATTGGTTGTAACCTCGTTTGGTACAGATGTGGTAATTGGGCTTTTGTAACCCCTCTTTTTTTTATTGGGTTTATTGGGGTGACAGTGGTTAATAAAATTATATAGATATCAGGTACACAATTCTATAATACATCCTCTGCAGAGTGCATTGTGTTCACAACCCTAAGTCAAGTCTCCTTCCATCACCATTTATTCCCCCATATACCCTCTTCTACCTCCCTCCATCCCCCTTGCCCTCTGATAATCACATACTGTTGTCTGTAGCCATGTGTTTTTTGTTTTATTTTGCTTAATCCTTTCACTGTTTCCACCCAGCCCTGCAAAACCCCTCCCCTCTGACAGCTGTCAGTCTGTTCTCTATGAGTTTATTTCTATTTTGTTATTTTATTTTGTTCAATGGATTCCACATATGACTGAAACCATATGCTAATTCTACTTATCCTAATCTATTTCTGTTTTTCCCATTATTCTAGTCAAATGAATAGCCTTTAAATAAATGCAGTCTTTTAATTTCTGTTTATACTCATGAAGTCCTCCCTGTTCAATAAAAAAAAAAATTGTATTATATCTACCAAGCATCCTTTCTCTTATGCTTCAAATACCTATTTGAAGAAACTTTCTCATGTATTAAAAAGCTTCATCTGGCCCTGGCCAGTTTGGCTCAGCGGTTAGAGCGTCGGCCTGCGGTCTGGAGAGACCCGGGTTCGGTTCCCGCTAAGGGCATGTATCTTGGTTGCAGTTTGTCCCCGGCCCTGGTTGGTCGTGCGGGTGGCAGCCACTCGATGTGTCCCTTCACGTCGATGTTTCTCTCTCTCTCTCTCCCTCCCACTCTATCTGTACAAAAAATGGAAAAATATCCTCGGGTGAGGATAAAAAAAAAAAAAAAGCTTCATCTGTCACAGGAGCATTTTGCTGGAGAAAACAAGCAATATAATATGCAACTTCCTTTTAGATTATTAAAATAAATATGAATTTTAACTTAGAGATTTTTCTCTATATTCTAAAGTAAAAAGCATATGTAAGTGTAATATTAGATGGACTTTGAGATTTATATGTTTTTTCCTCATGTCTGAACTTTTTATTTCTTATGTGTTGCATTCTGAGATAATTTACAGTTCAAATAATTTTGCAGCCCATTAATTGGTTTTATATCCGTAGCACACTCTTCTATATAGGAATTATATTTAACATTTTACCTAAAGCAAAAACTCTCTCTGGTGTTTTATGCAATTTACACATTCATGGGGAGAGGGATGGTTAGATGTTTGTGCTTAATATGTCACCTTGCGCCAACAGTAATAATCTCAATAATAATGACCATTTAATGTAAAGCATTATGTAATGTAAAGCAAAGTGAATCATACACAGGCTTCATTTTAAACTTAAACATTACAAACACCACTTTGTGAGCAACAACCGATTTTAAATAAGAACTAATACTCACCAGGAAAAGCATCAAAAGTAACTCTGTCTCCAGGAACAGACCCAGTAGGAGGTGCCAAGATTTCAACTTTCTCTGGTGAACTAGCACACATCACCATTGCTTGAGATAGTATTCCCCTCATCTTTGCAGGTTTTAGGTTACAAAGTAAAATCACCATCCGATTTTGCATCTGTGTGAAAAACAAATAGGTGATTAAGATATACAGAATTTGGAGTGAGCATACCTAGAATACATTAAGGTACATCTAATATGCTAAGTATCAAATGTTCTATTTTTGAGGATGTATTTTTATCTCTGTGTAGCCCAAACCTTTTATTGTTTTTATAAAGCCTTATACAAACATGAAAAAATAATTCTACACTCTGATAGTACATTATAGTTGAAAGACTCGAGATAAATATTTAAAGAAATAACTAAGTATAGAAAAAGTTAAAAAAAAAAATCAAGGAGAGTTTAAGGGACCTCTGAAGCAATATCAAACACACTAATATTTTCATGATAGGGATCCCAGAAAGAAAGAGAAAAAATGGTCAGAAAGCTTTATTTGAAGAAATAGTAGCTGAAAACATTTGTTAATCTGAGTCCAAATAAGTTGAACCCAAAGACACTCACACCAAAACATTGTAATTAAAATGGTTAGAGTTAAAAATACAGTCTTGAAAGCAGCAAAAGAAAAACCACTAGTTACATACAAGGAAAACTCCATAATACTATAAGCAGATTTGTCAGCAGAAAATTTTTAGGGCAGATGGGAATGGCTGGACATACTTAAAGTGCTGAAAGGAAAAGAACCTACAACCCAGAATAATACTCTACCCTAAAATGTTATCATTTAGAACTGGATAGTTTCCCAGACAAGGCGGGGGAGGGATTTCATCCCAACTAAACCAACTTTATAAGATATATTAAAAGGTCTTCTTTAAGAAAGAGTATAAAATAAATAAAAGGCCATAGCTAGAAATAAATAAAAAAAAGGTCTCAAAAGCAAATATATAATAAAGGCAGTGAATTAGTCACTTAAAACGCAAATACAAAGGTTAAAAGACAAAAGTAAAAAAATCAAATAATGAACACATGGGACTAGATCAAACTAAAAAGCTTCTGCATAGCAAAAGAAACAACCATCAAAATGGAAAGGGAACCCAATGTATGGGAGAGCATAATTGCCAATGATACAATCAGATAAGGGGTTAATTTTCAAAATATAGAGTGCTCAGATAACTCAACAAAAGGAAGACAAAGAACCCAATTAAAAAATGGACAGAGGACCTAAATAGACAACTCTCCAAAAAGGACTTATAAATGGCCAAGAGATGCAAGAAGAAATGCTCAACATCACTAGTCATCAGAGATATGCGAATTAAAACAACTGTGAGGTATCACCTCACATCTGCCAGAATGGCTGCCATCAATAAATCATCAAACAAGTTCTGGCGAGGGTGTGGAGAAAAGGGGACTCTAGTACACGCTGGTGGGAATGCAGACTGGTGCAGCCACTGTGGAAAATGGTATGGTGTTTCCTCAAAAAATTAAAAATTGAATTGCCATTTGACCCAGTGATTCCACTTCTAGGACTATATCCTAAGAAGCCTGAAATACCAATCAGAAAGAATATATGTACCACTATGTTCATAGCAGCACTATTTACAATAGCTAAGATCTGGAAACAGCCCAAGTGTCCATCAATAGATGAGTGGATAAAAGAGCTGTGGTACATATACACAATGGAATACTATGCAGCTGTAAGAAAAAAAAGATCTCTTATCCTTTGAGACAACATGGAGGGACCTGGAGAGTATTATGCTAAGCGAAATAAGCCAATCAGAGAAAGACAAATACCACGTGATCTCACTTATTTGTGGAATATAATGAACAAGGTGGGCTGATGAACGAAATAGACCCAGAGACATAGAAAGGAGTATGGTTCAGACTGACAAACTCAAAGTAGGGGGCAGGGGAGATGGATGAGATGAACCAAAGAACTTATATGCATGTATATATAACCAATGGACATAGACAACAATGCTAGGGGGATGGGGGCCAGGGTGGGGAGGAGGGTGTCTAGGGGGGAAAAAGGAGAAACATCTGTAACAAAAATAAATTAATAAAAATTGGAAAAAATAGCCCTGGTCGGTTTGGCTCAGCAGTTAGAGCGTCGGCCTGCGGTCCTGAGAGACCCGGGTTCGGTTCCTGCTAAGGGCATGTACCTCGGTTGCAGTTTGTTCCCGGCCCTGGTGGGTTGTGTGGATGGCGGCCACTCGATGTGTTCCTTTCACATCGATGTTTCTCTCTCTCTCTCTGTTCCTCTCTCTCCCTCCCACTCTACCTGAACAAAGAATGGAAAAATGTCCTCGGGTGAGGATAAAAAAAAAAAGAAAAATTGGAAAAAATATACATATGATAAATAGCTAAGGATACACAAAACAAAAAGATCTAAATTATGATGTCAAAAACAAAGTGTGGAGGGGGTAGTAAAAACAGTAATTTTAGAATGCCTTGAATTTACACACTTAGCTTAAAACAGTCTATTATAAATACAGGTCGATTATCTATGGTAACCACACACCAAAAACCTATAAAAATAAAGAGAAAGAAATCCAAATATAACACTAAAGAAAACCAGCAAACCACAAGGGAAGAAACCAAGAGAAAAAGGAAGGAACAGATAGTAACTACAAAAATAACCAAAAAACAACAAACAAAATGGAAATAGTACATGCCTATCAATAATTACTTAAAATAAAAATAAATTAAATGCTCCAATAAAAAGACATGGGTTGACTGAATGGATAAATAAAACAACACCCATCAGTATGCTATACCTGTAAAAGACTCACCTCAGATCGAAAGACACACACAGATTGAAAAGTGAAGATATGGGGGAAAAAAGGCTGGGGAAGCAATATTCCTATCAGACAAGAGAGACTTTAAAACAAAAACTGTAAAACAACACCACCAAAGAGGGGCATAACAATAATAAAGGGTCAATACAAGAAAAGGATATAACATGTGTAAATATTTACACACCCAATAGGAGCACCTAAATCTTCTAAACAAATATTAACAGACATAAAAGAAGAAATTGATAGTATTACAATAATAGGGGACTTTAACACCTCACTTACTAAGGTAGGTTGAGCATCCAGACAGAAAATTAGAAAGCATGGCTATGAATGACATATTAGATCAGATAAACTTAACAAAAATTTACAGAACATTTCATCCAAAACTGCAGCACTTATATTCAACATAGTACTGGAAATCCTAGCCACAGCAATCAGACAAGAAATAGAAAAGGCATATTAATAGGAAAGATAGAAGTAAAATCACCACCATTTGCAGATGACATGATACTACATATATATAGAAAACCCTAAAGACTCCACAGAAACATTTTAAAATAAATAAATTCATTAAAATTGGAGGATACAAATATTTGATGTTGGAAAAACAGAATAGATATATGAAAAAAAGTGAATCTGGGCTACTTTTTTATACCATATAAAAAATTCAAAATGGATTAAAGGCTTAAATGTTAAGACCTGAAACCATAAAACTCCTAGAAGGAAACAGGCAGTAAACACTTTGACTTCACTCTTAGCAAGTTATTTGGTCATCTAATACAAAATTATATGGAAAAACATCAAAGAAAGAGGAAATGAAAGTGTCATGTGTATGCAGAAGTAATTTTAATTGTACAAATTACCTGATCAAGAGGAACATGATTCACCAGGCCACTGACAACTGTTCTTGGGACTGCTTCTCCAACATCTACTTCTTCTACATACAAAGAATCTGCATCAGGATGTTTTTTAGCAGTGATGATACAACCAATTCGAAGATCTAGACGGGAAACATCTATTGGCTTAGAGTCAGCACTTCCTGCTACTGATTGTTGTTTTTTTTCCTTTTTCTCTCCTAAAAAATATTTATAAATGGGTAAACATCAGAAGTAAAACAAAAATACATTATGAAAAAATCCATAGCATTGATACTGATGAGCTTAAAAGACAAAAAATGTTTATATCCTACCTTCACTTAAATAACAAAGAAAAAATTAGTTATTCAAGTCACAGAATCATGTACTCTACTATTTCTCTGTTGAATAATTATCTTTATCTCTAGTTAAAGACATAGACAAGAGGTTGGTAAACTATGGCTCATGGGCCAAACCCAGCATGCTGACTGTTTCTGTCAGTTTTATTAGAACAAAACCATGTTTGTTCAAATAAACCTATTGTCTATGGCTGCTTTTACACTTCCACAGAGTTGAATAATTGTCAGACCCTTCTGGCCTATAAAGCTTAAATATTTACTAAATGGACCTTTAGAGAAGAAGTTTGCATTTCCCTTAAACAGAGCTGCAGAAAATCCTTGACAACTTTACTGTGACTCTTTAGAAAGCAAAAACTCCTATATTTATAAAGAATGCTATACTCTATAGCCAACTATGCAATGAACTACAATAAAATATAATTTCCCTGATAAAATGTTTCCCTCATCAGTTAAACACACTGATAAGTACACAATACATTTCTTCACTTCTTATGTTTCCCTAAAGATTTATTCGCGCTTTGGGTTTATCTACAGCAACTATTTGAGAAGAAGAGAATATTTTATTCTGATTATATTTTAAAAATCCTACTTTTATTTATATGCTGATAATCTAACTCTTATTAGCATATAATTACGTTAGCCACTGAGTCAAAATGCAAACTGTAAAGCATTCATATTAAGTTTCTGTTTCTCTGGTAGAAAAAAAAAGTAAAATAAACTAAAAACTTATTTACCTTCCAATCTGCAGGGTAGAGAGAAGCTAATGTGGCTTGAAAGCATTTTCTTCCAACTATACTTTTGTTTAATCTTTAAACAAATATTTACTGAGATCTAAGGCACTAGACCTATTGAGATGAGTACTCTATGTTTCAAAGCTTTCAAAGCTCCATGTTTGAAAATTTCTTTTAAGGAAGACAGATGTATTAATGAATATGTGATAAACATTATAAACACAAGGAAATACAGAAGCAGAGAAAAATAATTCTGCCTAGAGTAGGGAAAGAAGATTTTGTATAAATAATATTCACAATTTATAGAAATATACTTTACAAAAGAGGAGACAGAGCTAGTTCAAAATAATGGACAGTATTTTACCTTATTAGCAAATTATTAAAAATATCATTTTCCATATAACATGTTAGCAGAGATTTTTATGGTAAAACCCCAATGTTATAGAAATATATTACTAGAAATAAAATATACCAAAAACTTAAATAGTAATCTTGGAGTGATAAACTAATTACTTTGAAATACTGCAGTGTAACAGTATACTTATATTCATACATATATTTTTAAGTTCATATCCTAGGATTTAAAATACTTTTATCAGAAATCCACATTCCAAAGAGGATTACAACTATTAAAATCTATACCAAGAACTTTGTTAGTTATCATAAGGGATTTTAGAAATATTTCATTGACATATGAGTGATGCTTATATGTGGAAGTCTAGAAAGACTGTGAGCACCCACAGCCCTTGCCTGAGCAGAATTTTTAAATCTGGCAATTGTAGCAGCCAAAAACACCTATGGAGCAGCCCTCAATTCTAGCACTGTTCAATATGGTAACAGCCAATCACATATAGCTATTTACAATTAAATTTAATTAAAAATTCAATCCTTTAGTAATAGTAGATACATTTCGAATGTTCAATAGCCACAGGTGGCTACTGACTACTACTGCATTGGATAATACAGCTGTACAGCATTTCCATCACTGGGTAAAGTTCCATTGGACAGAGGTGTTCTAGACCTAGAGCTCCATTTGGCCTTCCGTGCTCCCTCTTCCCACAAAGGAAGACTTTGTTGTCTCATTAGACTAGGATTCTGACTGATCCTGCAGTCAACAATAATCATACACCTTCTTTGAGTATGGACTTCACCAAACTCAGAACAGCTGTTTAATTGTTTTATGCCTACTTCTTAATACACTTTATAAAGTGAAAGGATTAGTCTGATTTGCTTTCATTGTAACCATACCACCCAGTGATGAAGTTATGTAGGAGAGGATGTACAGCCCCTATCTACCTCTACCTAATAGAGGTTACTTATGTTTACCAAAAGGAATGAACAAATGTTAGATGCTAAATTAGCTCACAAATCTCTCAGCCATTTAATATTTTCCAAAATTTTTTAAATGAGTATAAATAATATGAGAGGTAAGTATAATAAATTGTAAAAGTACATTTTTAGACAAATCTGGGAAAAACAAGTCTAGAAAGGCATAAAGTAGACAGGTAAAAAAGGAGTCAGATAAGTACCTATAACAGCAAGGTAAATAAACTAGAAAAGATGAGGCTTTAATATTAATTCAGATGACAGACTGCAACAATGAGAACTTAAACTAAGGTAGCACAGAGCTGGGTTACAGACATGTTTTGGTAATAGGAATTATGGGCTTTGGTGGCTAATTAGATATGAAAGTTGAGGGAGTGGGGGACACATTAAGGTTGACTGTAAGATTTCTGATCTGGCTAGCTAAGTGGATGGTGACATACTTTCTACTTCAGTTCTTATGGGTTCCTAAAACCTGAACATCCGACATTCAGACATTCTGCTTTGACTGGAATATCCTTTTCCTATCTTCACAACTGGCCCTAAGTTAACTTTCTACCTGTGACTCTTCTAAAATGATCCCCCCAAATATACACTAAATAAACACTAAAATATACACCAAACTACATATGGGCCTCTGTACTTAATCTCTAAATTCTGTTTTAATTATGCCAGGCCCTTTACCTGAAATGCCACACTCTTACTCTGTCGACTTGATCATCTTTCATACATCCCTTAGGATCCAGCTTCTATGTTCCAATATCATACTGTTAACTTTATTCTAGTTCATAAAAGTTTGAACTTTCTTTCTGACATCATCATTATTATAAAAAATGCTGAGATCTGATAAACCAGTCAATAGCCAAATAACCTTAAAGTAAAATACCTTTCTTTTCAAGTTTCTCTTTCCCCTTCTTTTCTTCTCCTCTTCCTCCTTCTATCTGTTCTTTGGCACCAGAAGATACAGGTGTGATTGGTATAAATTGTATTACATTTTCAGAAACTGTGGAATTAACTTGCAGTGGAGTATCAGATGGAAATGGTATTTGTTTCACTAATAGAGAAAATGCAATGTCAGTTATATTAAACCAACAAACAAGATGAAAACCATGAAACTGTGAATCACAAATATGAACTCTTTTTAAAAGAGAAATTCACTGTATATGATTATCAAGTCTCTATTGTCCAAGACTGTAAAACGGCTGCCAAAAAAATTAAATTTTAAACATGATAAAAGAATAGATGCACATTTCTCCTTTAATCACTAATGATTAGACTTGGAAAATTACAGATGATAATATTTATTATGGTTTTATTATGTCCCAGACACTTTTCAAAATGCTTTTATGAATTAACTCATATAATTCTCATAAAATACCTTAAGCAGCAATATCTATTCATATCCCCTTTAACAGTTAATCATCCTGAGCCACACAGAAGTTAAAAAACTGGTCCATAACACACACAGTGAGTAGGGAAATAGAATTTATATTCAGGTAGTCTGTCTCCAGAGACAGACTCTTGTCATACTCTCATGGTTGGACAATATAGCATGTTTTTCATGCAGGTTTCATTTATAATGAACAATCGACTGGAAAATGTATGAATAATAATCATTTCTAAATTAGAATTGATAGACAGCATTACTTGTTCTATTTAAAAAAACAACTTTTTAAAGAAGCAAAGAAAACTTTTTCAGTGACATTAAAAACTTCCTCATAGCCTAGTGAACAGGGAAAAATGTAATCTTTTGAGGAATTTTGATATGGCTTAGTTTCTGGTCAACATTCACATGACTTTTCTGAGGTATTTTCTTTAATTTCACTGGAAGGTGTTGCTTCTTTTAGTAATGTGAAGTTCCATCTGTCTCTATTTTGTGTTTTAACATTAGACAGAATTTAATCTCAGTAAGATCAGAATTTAAAAGTTTAATGTTTCAACCAAAGAAGTAAAGGACCTATTCGCAGAAAACTACAGGACATTGAAAAAAGAAATAGAGGAAGATATAAAAAAGTGGAAGCACATACCCTGTTCATGGATTGGAAGAATTAACACCATTAAAATGTCCATACTACCCAAAGCAATCTATAGATTCAATGCAATCCCCATCAAAATACCAATGACATTATTTCACAGAACTAGAACAAATACTTCAAAAGTTCATATGAAACCAAAAAAGTCCCCGAAAAGCCACAGCAATTTTGAAAAAGAAGGACGAATTAAGTGGGATCACAATACCAGACATCAGGTTATACTACAAAGCAACTGTAATCAAAACAGCCTGGTACGGGCACAAGAACAGGCATATAGACCAGTGGAACGGACCGAGAACCCAGAAATGGACCCAAAGCAATATGCTCAATTAATATTTGACAAAGGTGGCAAGAGCATACAGTGCAGTAAAGACAACCTCTTTAATAAATGGTGTTGGGAAAATTAGACAGCTACATGCAAAAAAAAATGAAACTAGACCATCAACTTACACCATACACAAAAATAAACTCAAAATGGATAAAAGACTTAAATGTGACCCATCAATCCATAAAAATTCTGGAAGAAAATGTAGGCAACAAAATTTCAGACATCATACGCAGCAGAATTTTCACTGATACATCACCTAAGGCAACAGAAACAAAGAAAAAAATGAACACATGGGACTACATCAAACTCAAAAGCTTCTGCACAGCAAAAGATACAATCATCAAAATGGAAAGGCTACCCACTGTATGGGAGAACATCATTGCCAATGATATATCAGATAAGGGGTTAATTTCCAATATATATGGAGTGCTCATACAACTCAAAAGGAAGACAAAGAACCCAATTAAAAAATGGGCAGAGGAGCTGAATAGACACCTCTCCAAACAGGACATACAAATGGCCAAGAGACATATGAAGAAATGCTCAACATCACTAATCATCAGAGAGATGCAAATTAAAACAACAATGAGGTATCACCTCACACCTGTCAGAATGGCCGCCATCAACAAATCATCAAACAACAAGTGTTGGGGAGGGTGTGGAGAAAAGGGGACTCTAGTACATTGCTGGTGGGAATGCAGACTGGTGCAGCCACTGTGGAAAAGAATATGGTGTTACCTCAAAAAATTAAAAATTGAAATGCTATTTGACCCAGTGATCCCGCTTCTAGGAATATACCCTAAGAAGCCTGAAACACCAATCGGGAAGAATATATGTCCCCCATGTTTATAGCAGCACTATTTACAATAGCTAAGATCTGGAAACAGCCCAAGTGTCCATCAGTAGACGAATGGATATAAAAGCTGTGGTACATATACACAATGGAGTACTATGCAGCTGTAAGTAAGAAAGATCTCTTATCCTTTGAGACGACATGGAGGGACCTGGAAAGTATTATCCTAAGTGAAAGAAGCCAAGCAGAAAAAGACAGATACCACATGATCTCACTTATATACGGAATATAATGAACATAACAGTCTGAGGAATATGGTAGACCCAGAAACATGGAAGTAGGGCACAGACTGACATCCCTCAGAAGAGGAGGGTGGGGGTGGGTGGGAAGAGATAAACCATAGAACTTATATGCCTGTATGCATGACCAATGGACATGGACAACAAAGCTGGGGACGGGGCGGTGGGGATGGAGAGGGGGTGCCAATGGGGTAAAAAAGGAGAAACATCTGAAACAAACAAACAAAAAAAATTAAAAAAAAAAAACAACTTTAATGTTTCAGGGTGATCTTCTAGAACTGGGAAAAATAAAAAATAGTTTTATATTGATAATATATTAACTGTTTACTTGTATTCTAAATCTCCTAATCTTGGAAAACATCAATTAGCCTCAAATTTTCCAATGAAAAATGATATTCTTTCTAGTTGATAGTTTTAAGCATAGATTATTAATTTTTCCTTACTTTTACTTAGCTCACTCAGGGTAGAGTTCATATTACAGAGTTCAAAATAATTCACTAATAGACTAATTAGTAGTAAATATACTTGGATCTCCTTAACTCACCTAGGAAGGATTTTCTATAATACAATCAAATGGCTTTCTGCATGATATTTTGAAATTGTAATAGATTATTAGTGATTTATAAGAATGCAAATATATCTATACTCCTTTAAAATAATTCAATAACAGCCCTGGCCAGTTTGGCTCAGCGGTTAGAGCGTCGGCCTGCGGTCCAGAGAGACCCGGGTTCAGTTCCCGCTAAGGGCACGTACTTTGGTTGCAGTTTGTCCCCGGCCCTGGTTGGTCGTGCGGGTGGCAGCCACTCGATGTGTCCCTTCACGTCGATGTTTCTCTCTCTCTCTCCCTTCCTCTCTCTCCCTCCCACTCTATCTGTAAAAAAAAAAAAAAAGGAAAAATATCCTCAGGTGAAGATAAAAAAAAAAAAAAAAAAGGCATATATAAAATAATTCAATAACATTTTTAGTTTTATTTACAACATAATAGTTAAAATGATAATTATTTAATGACTTTCATAATTAATCAATTAATTTATTAATTTATTTATTTTTCCTTTATTGATTTTATAGTGAGAAAGAAAGGGAGAGGGAGAGAGGTAGAAACATTGATGAAAGAGAACATCGACTGGCCGCCTCCTGCATGCCCCCACTGGGGATCAGGCCCACAACCTGGGCATGTGTCCTGACCGGGAATTGAACTGGCGACCTCTGGGTGCATGGGTTGATGCTCAACCACTGAGCCACACCAACTGGACCTGACTTTGATCATTTAAAAGTTCTACAACTTCATGCAAATTATATTTCTAAGCTTGAATTTTCTCATGTAAATACAAGGGTATTTGTGTACACATAATTTTAAGGATAAAATACATAATATATGTGAAATACCGGGCAACACAATACCTAACATATAGTAAAACTTAATAAATGTTAACTAAATACTATTATGGCTTATTTTCAATAAATATTCAATAGGGAACAGTGATGATCAAGTTGATACACAGAATAGAGATTAAAAGCATAAGTTTTGAACCCCAACATTGCTACTTTTTGCCATTTTTTGCATAATCTCAGGCAAGATCATGTCCTTTTCTGTATCTCCATTTTTCCTTCTGTAAAGGACAAATAAACAAGAAGGGATGCTATGAAGGTAAGATAATAAGCCAAGCATAATACTAAATTAGGACACAATAAAAGAAGTAATTGCTATTATCAATAAAAATGTGTCATTTCTATATTCAATTACCGCCATTTTTAATTTCTGCTTGAATTAGCTCTTGCTTCAATTCTTCAATTTCTTTCTTCAATTTAGCATTTTCAACTCGAAGTTTCTTCTCTTCTCTCAAAGTTGTCTGCAAAACTAAGATAAAATCCAGTTAAGTATCATAGTGTTTACTAAAAGGTTCTTATGAATACTAGTCGAAAAGAGGTGTGGCTTAGTGGCTGAGTATCAACCCATGCACCAAGAGGTCACCGGTTTGATTCCTGGTCAGGGCACATGCCCAAGGTTGTGGGCCCAATCCCCATTGGGGGATACGCAGAAGGCGGCCAATCAATGTTCTCTGTCATCGATGTTTCTCTCTCTCTCTTCCTCTCTCTCTACAATCAATAAAGAAAGAAATATTTATTTAAAAAAAAGGAAAAGAGAGTACAGCCAGTATAAACATAGTTAGGATAATACTAATAACTAAATGTTTTCTTGGCCAGTTTCTTTACATCAGAGTTTAGTATTATTAAAACAATGTGATATTTAAAAGAGATAAAAGGGGGATAATCTGTGAAATAAAAGAATAGAAAAGGCTTTGTTTATGAATCATTTCCTAGCCTCTATAAAGATGCTTATGACAACTTAAGAATCTAGTTCAAAGTGTTAATAGATAAAACTGTAAGAAAGAGAGATAAGTATTAGATATATTAAATTATTTTTTAAATTCTGAGATCTAATAATCAAACAATAAAAAACTACTCTCATTTTTCTAGTCATTACCTTGTAAAAGGAGCTGAGTAATCCTTTATATCTATTGTTTAAGAAAGTGAGCTGGATAAACATATAATGAGTGAATTAATGTCAAATATTTGCTCAAGATATAATGTGTGTGTTAGGATATACAAAACTATAAAAGAAAAACAATGATTCTCAGTGGGGTTGGCAGTACTCCCTAGGTGGGATTTTGAAAATCTGAGGGAATATTTTTTAGTTCTCAGCAATAATGGGAGTCATTACTGGCATTTACTGGGTTGGGGCCAGGAATACCAGATGTCCTCATACATACTAGATAAATATTTTAGATTTTCATTACAAAATTAACATTGGCTATTGAAAAATATAATAGACTTAAACAAACAAACAAAAATCATCCTAGATCCTAAAAACAGAAATTTAGATTCGATATTTTTATACGCATCATAGAAATTTTAGGTAAAATTTTAAAAAGTATTGGGGAAAAAATTAATAATCACTTCAGAGAATGCCTTAATAGAGAGTAATATTGAAGTATATATTCTTAGCCCTGGCTGTGTAAGTCAGTAGGTTAGTGTCATCCTGATACACCAAGGTTGCGGGTTCGACCCCCAGTTAGGGCACATACAAGATAGAACAAGATGAATGTATAAGCAAGTGAAACAAATGAATCTCTCTCTCTCCCCATCCCTTCCTCTCTCTTCGAAATCAACAAAAAATATTTCAAAGTATACATTCTCTCCTATTTAAGGTTAGAAGAGATGTTTCAGTACATGTTTAATTTAACCCAATTTCCTTCATTTTTAATCTCTAATACTATTCTAAATTATTTTAAACATTATTTTTCCCTTTGCAGTATGGAAATAATACACTGTTTTCTCTACATATCATGCATTCACTATATACCAATTTTAATTTATCTTAGTTCTAGACTATCATTTTACTCCATTTTAAAATATTAAAGGAATATAAAAATTATCAAGATAAAGCAATTTATGTGGTAAATATTTTATTTTGTTTGTCAATATATGAATTCATTTTAAGTATCTCCTCAGAAAATTTAAATTTTTCTTACTTGCTTTTTCTTTAAGAAGAGCAACTTGCTGTTTAAGATATTCAATAATTTGATCTGCCTCTGCACCTTTCTGTTCCAGTCTCTTCAGAACAGCATCATTGGTTGCCATTTTTGCCAAGAAACGGCAGACAAACCTAAGTGAAAAAAGTAAAAGTGATAAATTATACTTTAGAAGGAATGAATTTATTTTACAGGACACTGTGAATAAGCAGTCTAAAAAATATATTTTCACTGTATCAGATCAATATGTTAGAAAAACACGTTTCCTACAAACCAAACCTAAGGCAGAATTTTAAGGTTGTAAAGTTTTAAAGAAAGCTTTAAAATACTGCAGAGCACTATCACACAAGACAGAAACACTAAAGGAAAAGAATACCAATAACTTTAACTAAGCTATAACTGAGTATCACATCTGTGTTCTAAAGAATTTCTAAATTCCTTCTTATATGTTATTTTTGCATTTTATATATATATATTCTGTTTATTTAATCATATACAATTTTAAGGAGAACCACATGATTAAGAAAGACAAATATTAAAAGAAAAAGGTCAACAATTAAGAAAATATCAATATTAATCATATGCCTCCTGAGAAGTAGTCAGTATATATACTGTATCCTTGTAAAAGAAAATTAGAATTATAATTTTATAATAATTCACAGAAATTAGAAAACATCTTATCATGTACAGAAAAATGCATATAAGCAAACATTCCAAGATTAATTCATCATGCTAGCTTAAAGTGCTGAATATTTCACATTAAAAATGGGTAATCATGAAAAATCCTACAAACTGTTTTACCTGATTATATAATTCAAAGCATAACAATTTATAATTCAATTTATAATATGAAGTATAACACAGACACAAGCATTGCTAAATTCTGATTTTAAATAAATGATGCACAACACATAATTAAATTTTATTTAAAAAGTGCTAATAATGAACAAATAATACAAAATTGTTTTAAGATTTCAAATTATTCAATATTCATCCTACATAAAGAACTTTCTGGAATGTTTATTTTTTTAATAAAAGCAAAAACCAATCCTCAAAAAACTTATTGCTAAAGTTGAAAATTACTGACTTAGAAGCAATAAAATAAAAATACCTATAAAAATAAAGTTGCTAGTAAATGAAGAAAATATAAATGGGGGATAATCTGAAAAGACATAGTAAACTGCTCATGTTTTACATGGACTATTACTTAACAGTTTAAAAATACAGAGCAAAATTTAAAAAGTACAAAAATTGAAAATAAAGATAGTACCGTTAAATTATTCCAATTATTAACAAAATGAACACAGAATAACCCTGTTGTAGTTCCTCAAATGTTTGCCAAGTCAGAATTTTAGAGAAAAATATTAAAGTACATATGAAAAAAGTTAAAGTTAAAAAGCTATATTCTTCTGAACTTTTAGTTTCCAAGCTATAGCATTCTTTTATTTTAAGAGCTTTCTATTTTAGTCTAAAATCAGTAATGATCAAATATATTTAATAGGTGAAATATACTATCACAAACAAGTAAACTAATGACTATTTGATTTGGGATAATTTAAAACTTTTGCTTCCCTGGCAAAGAAAAATTTGATGAGTAGTACTAAGATGAATGTGAAATTAATGATACACTTTAGAAAAAACATAGTAAACTAGTGTCTTAACTGATAATAAATAGCTTTAGTTTTCATGAATTCACCAACAGTTCCAGAATGTCATCTCACAAACACTGCCAAACTGCTGATAAAGCAAAGCATGCAACTCATGCCAACTTACACAAAAACAGTTTCAAAACTACGACTAACAATAATTTGTAAGATAGAGATCATAAAGCCTAGACTAAAAGAAAAAAAAGAACATAATTTTACTGAGTTGATAAATCTATTAACTACTTAAAAAATAGTTATAAAAGTGAGTTAAATAAAATACCACTTTTATAATACACATTGAAGCACTGGCACCATGTTTCAAACCACAGAAACACAAATGAGCTGAATATAGTAAACATACATCAACTGAGAGGAAACTATGTAATAAAGAAAAGTGGTAAAACTTTGAATGATGCTGATAAAAAATATAAATGAGAGAAAATCCTCAAACCACAGTTATCTAAAGGTATTACGAGATTAGGAAATAAAAAATGAAAAGACTTGCCATCCCTGTTTTTGTGAAACCAAAATATTATTGTCATAAACTGAAAACACAAACAACTAGTTAAGACTAGGTATTAATGCCAGTTTGGCAGGAGACAGTTTAACAACCAACCAGCTAATAAGTTTACTTTGAACAAAATCTTTATGAGGACACTATATGAATTTATTTTTCAATAAAATGTTGAATAAGAAACATATCTCACCCACATGAAAAGGAAACAATAGGTTACTGAAGAGTAGTACATATCTGTCTCTCATGCAAAAACAAAAAAGTGTGTAAAACATCATCCTACTTTTAGATAATCTTATGCTTTAACTTTAAATACTGCAGGACACTAATATGCTATGTATATTTTATATATTTATTTAATTATAATCATGTAAATATATTATAAAATAAGTATAGTTTATGTATTTGGCTATACGCTTACAAATACTTACAAATAAACTGGATTAAGGTCTAGTTTAAATTGCAAATTAGTGAACAAAACCAGGACAGAGAAATGTATTATCACCTGAAATATTCAGTACAAATTTATTTCTAACTATATAATTAGATAAAACATGAGAAATAGAGAAGAAAAATGATAACACATTAGTAACAGAGAAATGTTAGTGGAAAACATATTTAGGCCACGAAGTTTTAAAACATTGAGAATAGAGAGAGTTAATAATCCTACTGAGCCATTCATATATAAAATAATTATGGATAATATCAGAAGCCACTGCAAGTTTCCTGATAGGTATTATTAGGTAATAATAACAGTTAATGTTTACTTTGTCTTTAGTATCTGCTCGCTCCTTTTTGAAGCACTTTACAGTATTAATTTATTTTGTCATCACAACACCATGAGGTATATACTACTATCACTTCTTCACTTTACTTGGAATATTAAGAACTTATTACAAGAGTAATAATATACAATTTAATAATGAAAAAAAAAACATGGACTTGGAAATCACAGACCTTAGATCAAACTTTGTCCCTCTGTGACTTAACATCTGTGTAAATTTCAACAATTTCCTTAACCTCTCTGAGCTGGTTTTCTCATTTGTAAAATGAAGATGAATTTTATTTATTTCAGAGTGAGGTAAAACGAGATATCATGAGTAACACTTAACAACACTTTTATCACATAGCTAATATGTCAGGCACTGAGCAAAATTTGGGGAACACAAAAAGATAGGATATTTATATAATTCTCACCTTCAAGCCCACAGTATAGTGGGTTACCCATGTCATAATTTCTAGATCACTAGTTATGATTTTTTTTCCTTAAGGGTTGAGAACACACAAATAGCAAAAATATAAAGTATACAGATTGACATTAAAAATGTACTTAATATGGCTAAGCAGCAAATTAATTTCTTTGGGATAGTACATGGGGTGATAAATATATTTACATTAATTCTAGATTTTGTGTTTATAAGTATGCAAAATATATCTAAGGGCTCTTGTCCAGGAGAGTGCCGTAAGACATCAGCCAATTAAAAATAGCTGCAACTTTTCCCTACAAATAAATACTGTCATCATAACTGTGGAAACTCTAAAGATAATGGACTTGAGATTATTTAAAGAAATAGTATACAAAGAAATAACACTCAAAGGGATATAACAGATTTTAGTTTGAATGCCTTGTGAAGGTCTTCTAAGAACTGGTATATAACAGTTCTCAGTTCAAGCTCAGAAGGCAAAGCAATCCAAGATAAACCACCCATACTAATTTGCCAAAGGTACAGAACTGGCCAAGAATACCAAGAAAAAATTTGTTTTATGAGAATTATGTACAGTGTTCTGGTTTAAGGGGGGGAAAAAATCAATGAATGCTTTCTGTTCAATTTTGCTATGAACCTAAAACTGCTCTAAAAAATAAAGTCTATTAAAAAATTCACTAAACCATAAACTTAAGACCATGTGAATTTGAAATTTGAGAATGTTCCCCATTCTAATTACTAACAAAGTCCACATTTGGTTACACAATAATTAATTTTCCAATAATCATTATGCTACATATCATAGTGATATATAGGTTACTTTTCAGAGCCACAATATCAACAATACTTCTACAAAAGCAGCCTCATTAAAAGAGTAAGCATCTTGTCTTAGGGCAGTCATTTCTCTGGCAATAATCAAGTTTTTGTGGAAAAATAAAACTTAGGAATGACTACACAGTAAAACACAGTAGCTGCTAACCAGTGCCTACTCTTTCTCCACCACTAAATAACTGGTTATCTTGGCAATATTATTTATGATCCCAATATTTAAAAAAAATTCTTGTGAGATATTTTGGATTCATTTCTAGTCAGGTCTATGTGTTGACATGACTTTTGTCAAATGCTAAGAGCTATTAATGTTTTTAGAATTAGAAGCTCTGGAAATAGTATCCTAGTGTTTGTTGATTAACTGTCATTTAGATTTTTAAAATATAAATAGAATGCATAATATTATGCCAATGTGCCCTGGCCGGTCTTGCTCAGTGGTGAGAGCATCAGTCCACTGATCAAACAGTCTGGAGTTCATTTCCAGTCGAGGGCATGTACTTTGGTTGGGGTCAAGGTTGGGGTTGTGTGGGAGGCAACCAATGGACATGTCTCTCTCAGGTCACCTCTCTCTCTCTCTCTCTCTCTCCCCCCCCTCTCCTCCCTCCCACTCTATCTGAAGATACATGGAAAAGTATCCTAGGGTGAGGATTTAAAAAAAAAAGTTATGCCAATGTTTTCTAGTAATATGCAGATAATGATCACTAGCCCCAGCAGAAGAGTGTAGTTTTTTACAAAAGTATTTACAAACAGGCTGTGTGCCCTTCGTAAAATTGCTTAATTTCTCTATGCTTCATTTTCTTAATTTATAAAATGAAGATACTTATCACCAGATTGATTTCACCTTCTACTTCCTTAGAATCTCCTTTTAGGGCTCCTCTTGACAGGTACTTTAGGTTGATGTTCTACAGGTACTTTTAGGTTGATGTTCTTTTAGGGCTCCT